AATACCCTCCAGCAAAAGCTTATCGATTTATGAGAAGAAACAACTGTTAGAGAGCAGCAATCTGCTTGGGGCTTCCAGGAGAAAATGATCTACTGATGAAATTTTGCAGTTATTGTTCTTTTCTGAGCTTTTGCTTCCTCTCGCAAGTCTGAAATGCTGACCAAAGTACTCTGCCTGGCTGGCACACAGAATTCTTCTGATAATCAAAGGGGGAAAATTATACCTGTAGGTGGGCGTTCTTTTAAGGTCTTATTATCTTGTGGTAAGTTGCACCATTCAGATGTCACCATGAGTTAATACCGAATTACTAAATTTAGAAATGTTTTAGTAGTACACAGTAAGACTGAGAAATAAGGACTTTAGCCATCAAAAACTTCATGTGGGTGTTTTGACAGAGTATTAGGGCAGCTTTCCACTAGTGGCCACTACCACCAGTAGTGGCAGTGGGTGTTTTTTTCCAGTATCCTGGGTAATTGTGAAGGTCACTGCAGTGTTAAATGCTTTTTCTGACACCAAAGACAGCCTGTTCTGGAAGAAAGGCCCAGATTTTGACTGTTAACTACAGGAAAAGGACTGTTGAGGAAAAGGACTGAGCAGAGATCTGCAGGACTAAATAATGCATACTTGAGCATTCCAGCTATCACAGTTAATACTCCTGCGTATACGTTATCTGTAAGTACCAGTTACGGCTTTTATGAAAAGAAACATTAGTTAAAATGCTATTTCTTAGATTAGGTTTTGAAATGTGGTTTAGACCTTGAACTGTGGTATGTACTTTTAGATTAAGCATATTACTATGCTGTAGGAATAGACCTGTTGCAGGGGGATAGCATTCATATATTCTGCCAGAGCTCCAGACCAGCTGGGTGTGTGCAAGGCCTGATCCTAAAGCCAGTACAGGGTATGTGTTCTGTACTGGTTAATACAAGTATACGCCTATAAATCCTCCTAGCTTCTCTACCAGCTTCCTTGCAGTCAGGAGGCTGTTCAGCTGATGGATAAATGTATTGTAAAGTTACAGACATGAAATTTGGCTTCTTATTAAAAGGCTGCCCATAAGACCCAGGCTATCCTGAAGAGTTTTAATGGAAAAAAAATGAGGTCAAAATACCAGTGCCAGAATGAGAACAGCTCTGAATCAATTAACAGAATAGAATTAAGAGCTATATTTATTTCTTTCCCCCACCCACTCCCGATTTACAGAGTAGCAGGAATACATTAAGAAAATGTCTTGGGGATATGTGCCACCTTCAGTCCTCTTCATCAGCGCAGAGTAAACGAAGGCTTTTTGGAGACAGACCAAGTAGAATGGAGTAATATGCTGACTAAGGACCAAATATGTCCTGAAAGAGGCATGTTATCCTGTGAGTTTTGTGGATGCAAGTCTTCAGTTACCACTGATGTCTTGAAGTTAAATCCAAGAGAAGAGGCAGTGGAAGGACAAGGCTGGAAGCAGTGTGTCCTGTGAATTGGCTGGTTCAGCTTATAAACCACAGTCTAATCAACTGACTGATTTAGCTTACAAACTTAGAAATGAGTAAAAACTGCCCAACATCTCTTTAAGACACCATGTGGTTGAACAGTGCAATTGGTTTTGGAATTTCTGGAAATGTTAGTGAGGCAGTTAAAATCTAGGACATTCATCCAAAACCAGATGAGATCGAAAATATCTTCTGCTGTGAAAAAAAGCCCAAAATGGGAATGTAAACTGTGTTTTTATTCTCTCTCTGAAACGTTGAAAGTCGTGAATGTCTTTTAGTATGTCTCTTAACAACAAAATACTTCTCCTTTGGAGATCTCTCAGAATATTATAAGTAATATCCATTTTTATGGGTCTAAAACTGTAAAGCTAGCAGTACTCTCATCACCATAGTGTAAAACTCAGCATGTAGATACTATTTTAAACCAAGAAATTCCAGAGAATATATCAAGATGACAAGGAAGCACAATGTTGTGCTTCCTAAAGGTGTTCTGTTATTATTCTGGTAATTACATATTGTTCATAATGTTACCATTTGCGTAGCCGAAAACAAAGACATAAGAAGTGAGCATTGCTAGTCCATGAGATGATAAACCCAGATTCCTTCTGCTGAGTGGCGCAGGTATGACTATGTGGACATAATCCATTAGAAACTGAGGCTGTGAGATTTGAACTCAGTGTAAGTACATGGTTTGTGGTGGGTAAGCAGAAGCAATAGCTGACACTGTCAAGGGACTGGTATCTACTCTTTAAGGGAATTGTTAGAATGTGAAAAGTGACATGTTTGTAACAGGCATTTCAGAAGTTTACAATTTCTGGCAATAACTGTCTTTTACAAAGGTTTCACTGCACTGCAGAATCCCAGCCCAACTGCATGATGTCGGTGCAGTGGTCTGTTAGGTATTTACCTGCTCATGGATGACCAAGTTTTAGTGTGTTACAGAATATCTCGGTGTCTGTGTTGTGTGGTGAAGTTGTCTGTTAGCAGGAGTACTGAGTGCTTTTACTGATACTGCTTAGCTCCGCCTAGGGATCTTAAGTTCAAACTCTAAGATGTAACCATACTGCAAGATTTTACTTCTAGTGTGTCCTGTTGTTTTAGTAATTAAATCTCCTACCTTTGTGTCCATCTTGCCTATTGCAGTGGAATTAGGTTTTTTCTTAAGTTGTTTTTTTTTTTCTTCTTTTTTTTTGTGACTTCCTCATCCTTTTATTCCTAGCTGGAACTTCTTTGGATCTGGTTACCACTGTAATTGGTTTTTGCTTTTCTTAATTATGTGATGTATGTGTATCTGCCTGTTACGTGCATGAATGCAGTGAAGTGGAAACGTATCTGCTTTTGTCAGTATCTCCCAGTGGTAGGAATATCAGAGTTCTTTTAAATTGAATTTTCTAGTCTTTACTAAATGAAGGTAGCAGAATATATTCATTTACACTATTTAAACAGTTTTTTCATACTGGTTTTTCCTATGTCAAAGCTTTATAACATGAAAAGAAAAAGCTTCAAGTTTCATCAAGTAATTCATGTGGATCACTTTGAAAAAAATTGGATGGATTTACTATATGTACTTTAGTTTTATTGTCATTAAAGCTGAAAGGGTTGAATTCTCTGTGCTTAATCCCGAGTGCTGCAAGCCTAGTAACTTAACTAAAGAAATTACTTAACCTAGTAATCCTTAACTAGAGAAATAAGTTTGAATGTATCAAAGACTTCTATTTTTCCTTTATTTGTGTCACAGCATGTTTGAGGCATGACGATAATGCAGTATAGAGAATACCTCAGAATATGTAGGTAAACCAACCCTGACAGGATTTCTGAATTAAGGAACAAATATAAAAATATGTGCTTATAATTGGATGCATGTTTCTGTGTGTCAGTGTGTTATGAATTATCATAATTGCATGTTCAGAAGAGTTCCTAGGAAATGACATACCCAGTTGGCTGCATGCATTGAACTTGCTTATTTAAATAAAAGCAAACTGACTCCACAGGGATGTTTTCCAGCGCACACAGGTATGCTCTGTTCTATTCCCACATGCCCATGGCTGTTGCAGGTCACACTATTTGGATAAGAATTTCTTCTCGTGTGGTCTAGAGCAGCACCATTGCCTCTGCCTTCTGACCTGCTCCTTTTCCTCCTCCTGCTTTTCCCTGTCTTCGGACTGTGGTTTGTGCCAGTACCGCTCTTCCTGGAGCAATGTTTTGAACCAAATCAGGGAGCTTCTCTGAATTGAACGGACAGATAGGACAAAAATCCAGGCACCCCCCAGCAAGGAGAAAGGGGCAGAAGCAAATTAAAGCAGCACTTACTGAAAGAAATGAATGGAAAACAAAGATCTTTGTATAGGTTGCTCACTTGAAATCCTGTTAATTCAAAATCCCTTTGAAAATCTGAGTAATCAAATTAGGCAGGACAATCTCAAACCAGTATTTTGTAACCATCTAATAGTCATGATTTTCTTTAATCCCTGAATATTAATTATTCTTGAATAACTTGTAATATTGTATATGTTTTCAGTTGGTTGAAATGCTTATGAAGGCTAATTGTGACAGTATTTTCTTGCTTACTGTGCATATGAAATAGATTTTAAAATATTTCACAATAGCTTTCCTATTGTGAAGCTATTCATGTTCATTGCTGGTACACTTGCAAATCTACCTATGAAGAGCTGTAATTTCTGGGGAGCTATGATCTTCTGCAGATTACTTTTGCAAACGAGCACAGAAGTGATTTGATTTACAGCAAACAACTTGTCCAAATCCTTCAGTTCCACCTAGTCGTAACACGACATTCCCGTGTGCCACACACAGGTTAGTTTTATATACCTGTGCTATTTTTGTGCTGTAGAATGATCCCCTGCTCAGTGTGAAGCCATTTGTGCTGTAAGCAATTCACTCTTTCAATGTAACTTCGGGAGCACTGCAGCATTAAGCAGTAGGATTTTAGGGGTGTTAATTTAATCTTTTAAGTGTTGTTTGTGTGCCGCTTTCTGCGACAGCCTCTTTAAAGCAGTTGGTATATATCCTTCAAAAGAGCTGCTGTGATGAAAAGCAAACAACCATGAAGTGTCTGAAATGATTTTAATCTCTCTGAATTTGTCTATTTAATGTAGGTAGAAATTTTAGAGTCAAAAAGAACTCCCTGGGAGTTCAAATTTTAACAAACAGGATCAAGATTTAGCTGATTAAAAATCATTGGAAAAGGGCGGATCCATCAACATTTCATGTTCTAAATAAGTTTATTAACACCAAAATATTTTAAAACCTGCTGTGCTGCATGAGTCTCTGACTGTTCAGTAGTCAAGCAATGCACACCCCTGCAATTACCTTCTCAAGATGCTTATTTTGTTGAACTGTGTAAGTAAGGATTTATAGACTTCTAATATTTCACAGTCTTTCCAAAGTTTAACATTACAGAAAGTATGAAACAAGTATGTGATATATTCAGTGTTACTTGGCAAATTCCTCTATGGGCTGGAAAAGTGTTTGATGCAAGATGTTCTCTTTGTTCCCAAGCAGGCCCTTCCGAAACATCAGAGGTGGATGAAAAAAATGTTCTTGCAAAAACTTATACAGGTAGATCTTTTAATTGTATTTTTCTCACATCTGTGTTGGAAATGGAATGTGTGAGTTTCACTTTTCAGGGATCTCCTCCCTTTACTTAAAGTAAGAGGGTATTGGAACTTAAACTTCAACAGAAAGGAAAATTACGTTGCCTTAATTTTCAGGTGTCCCAGTAGAGACACATACAGAAAGGGAATCTCATGTCTTTCCTTTTTAAATTGGAAAAGAAACATCAGGTTGATCACTCTAAAATACTAGTAATTTGTGTGGAATATGTTTATCAGGAAATTCAGCCTGTTACGTAATTGATTATAAGGTTTAATAAACCTCTGCTTATGTATTATGACTACAACTTGATCATTCAGCTGTGTGTGAGGTGAACAGGCACATGCAGAAGAAAGTACATGGAAAGTCTGTGTTTAGGGGAAGGAATTCCTTACTGGACCTGAACAGTAGCTTAAATAAATTTGCCCCCAGACTGTACATTTATTTTAGCTTCTTACAGTTTGCATTAAAAATACCTGTTTGCTCATTTGCAAGCACTAAAAAATACTGATTTGTATTTCAACCCATGAATGTCTTTATGAAGTCAGAGTGCTCCTGCTCTTAAAAAGTGTTAAGATTCAGAAATTGAGCCTTCTGTATTTTATTTATGTGGGCATTATAGTTCTGGATTTTTTGCTTATGTAAATCCTTACTTTCAGTAGTTGATGTTAAAAGTTCCTTTTCTATTTTTATTATGGCATGTTTTGTACTTTGTATTTGTCTAAAGGAAGCCACCAGGGTTCCGATTGCAGAGAAGGAGCAGATGAGGAAATGCCAGTAGAAGGTTAGAGATACAAAATGTTTTTTCATGAGAATAAATTAACATCATTGGATGTTTTTTTACAGAAATGTTTGAAAAGATGGCACCTTAAAGTTGTATATCTCCAAGTGTTCTCTTTCCCCATTTCCACAAGGCTGGCTTTGGTTTTTTTTGGTTTTGTTTTGCTTTTAATCTCCCAAATCATGCCACTGTGCGGCTTATTATAAACAAGTTGTGATGGGATTTCTCATTCTTTTAAATCATAAGTTGTGAGGCGCTTGTCACCCAGCGTTTAGTGTTTTGACGTGACGTTGAAAGGACATCATTCTGCAATTAGTTTCATTCTGAGCACCTGACTTTCAAACCTGAGTCATGAGTATTTAAGGCCAAGTTATGCTAGCAGCAATACTCATTCTTGCAAATCCCATTAGTTTTGCTTTGAAGGTAAATATCACCATAGTTAAAGGGTACCATTACATGAGATTTAAAAGCTTTTCTCTTGATAAAGAAGAATAAAGTTCTTTGCTCTTGCTGAACTCTACTTATTTGAGAAAAAATAAGCTAGATACTTTGTTTTTCTAAGTATAATGCCATGAGCTTTATGCCTGGCTGTGAAGAGAGCCTTAGGAAAGAGAAGTGTCTTACAAAATGACCGAGGCTCTGACTGTGCTTTGATTTTTGACTACATAGAACTTTACAGCTACAGATTGAGTGCCAGAATATAGTTTTGTTACGCACCCCTTTCTCAAATCCTTTTTTCTTTGCAAGTTTCTGTAAGAGATGTGCTGAAAGTTGCACTGTTTTTGCTGAGTAGGATAAACCTGTTGTTCATGAAGGTTGGTATTTATGAAAAAGTTTAAAAACCAAACACTTCACTTTAGTGTTTAAACCAGTTGGGTTAGTATGACTTCAGAAGAAATGTCCCATCTGGGAGCTTTCTTCCAGAACTTCAATGCCATCTGCTTTGATATATTGACACATTCCTCTTAATTATGACTGTTTCTAAGGGATTTGTTACTGGACTAGATGGAAGATTTCATAGAAATGAAATTGTCATTTGCCAGTCCTTGTGGCTGTCCCTGAATTTCCAGAAGTTATATTTCTTCAGGGTTTTTTTTATACTCTTCTGATGCTCTCAAAAATTGTTCCAAGTAATCAGTTGATGTAATAGTCATTTTTATGACCATACTTTCCATTCATATCTACTAAAAGACCGTTGTCTCCTAATTTTTTCCTTTTGTTGTGCTTCTGATTTGCTGGTTATCCACCCTGCACTCACTCGCTGAGTTAGATCAAAACATCATGCTGTGTTTTCCATGGACTAGGTAATATATTAGACATAGTGCAAATATACTCCAGTTAAGGTGTCTCAGTAGATACTGCTGAATCTCTACTATACACAACATCATGTGAAGAGCCTTTGAAACAGAGATTCCTTCAGACTGGCTCCCAAAGTGATACCGTGCTTCCAGCTTACAGAGATATGAAAGAATAAATTCATCAAAATGCACTAGCACAGCATCACTCTACTTTGATAATTTAAACAGATACCTTCATACACTGCTACTTAGTTGTGAAATAGTTTCCAATACAATTAGCTTCATGTTTTCCAAACTTTGCTACTGCTAAGTGCAACTTGCTCTTTCTCCCATAGAGCATTGGTAGGGCTAATCCTTTTTGTGTTAGTGCAGACCACCCCAATGAACACATTGTGATTATGAATTTCCCTCTCATTTTTCACTGTTGGCCTTGCAGCCTGTTACGGAAATCATTACAGTGCAACAGCTATTCATTAGTATAAATGGTAAAGAAATATATCATCTGTAAGGGCATGCAGCCTTTGTTTATATTTTCAGTAATCCTTGATAACAAAGAGAAAAATATCTCTAATTGTATTAATCGTATTAAGCCGAGAATAAGGAATTTCCTACTGTCATTAACACCAACTCTGCAGTGCTGCACATGCAGTTTAGCAAGTATAATCTCCACATCCTTACCCTTGTCTAGAGTTGCTTAAAAGCTTGTGGTAGAATATCTTTGCTCCTGTTTTTTGTTGCGCATTGTGAATGCCAGGGGCTTCTTTGACAAGTGCTACTTTAAATATATAATCATGGAGGGTTTGGTTAAAAATCTTTTCTGTGTCCATCACTCAGTGGTCCTGTTTTTTCCACCCTTTAGATTCCTCCCAGCAAACCCCTTCAGAAACGAGTGAGAATCCTGAGGTCGAGGTCACTATTGAAGGTTAGTTCTCCAGTTCATTGATTTCAGTCCATTGAGCATTTTTATGTCCAAAAAATGTTCTAAAATGCCTGCATTACTTGGCACATATAAACAGGATTATGTGCCAGTGTTGACTGCAGTTTGGATTGTGCAATGCTTGGTAAACTTATCCAGTCCAGAAGTTTTATAAAACCACAATATACTGAAGCATACTGGATTTATTGGGCTGGTTTTGAAATGCATGAGAGATTTGCATCTTGCATGTACATTTCAAGCACTGGTAGTGAAGAATACTCATTATTTAACATCCATTAATTTAGATTTTAAAAAGATGTTACAACATCCATTCTGAAGAACCTGTTGCTTTTATAAACACACTGTAGTTAGGCAAAATTTCTAGTTAACACTAGCTTCTGGGAAGAACTATACCAAACTAGAAATGGTGTTACAAGTTGTGTAAGTGATGCTTCAATTTGTCTAATATCGATAAATATAAGATAAAAACCTTTCTCCTTACTACCTCATCCTTACATTCTCATCTAAATGGCACTAAAGCCACTAACCAGCATCCATGTTGTTTTCATGCTAGGATGTTGGTTAAAAGTCAGCAGTATTTCTTGTGCTTGTGAATTACATGTCCTCTAACTGCTTTAAAACACTTCTGAGACTGGCTTTTGCAATGCTTGCTTCTGGACTGGGTAAGATTAAGACCAGCAAATTAGCAATTTAGAAATTAGGCAATGCATTCAAGGACAAAGTTGACACTTTGGCATTCATTTCACCCTTTCATAATCCAGCAGTAAAATAATTCTTTAATTATTTTACTCTCCATAGAAAAGGTGATAAGAGAACAGTCATTAACTGCTGTGTGTATGTAAAGGCTTTTACCACAAAAGTAAAAATGCTCTGAGAAGAATATGATATAATAATAACAGAATATGGTACAACCACATAGGTGTGAGAGATGTCAATATGTAATATTACTTGTTCTAAGCAAACTATACCCTATGACCTGGACAGATGTTATTCTGTATGTGAAATTAATTTATCTGCTTTAACCATTTCCTTTCTCTAAGGTTGCAGGTATAGGTAATTGGACAGCCTTAAAAACTCATTAACTGGTAGGGAAGATCGTGTTTTGGATTGGGAAGTGACTGGCTAAGTAGCAGCTCACTGAAAAATACCTGGGGTTTGCAGTTCCCCCCCTCTGTCTGTATGTGATTGAGGTAGGGCTGATGCATTAAATAAATTTCAATTATCTCAGTCAGTTTTTTACATTGGATTGAAACATTTTAACGTATTTGAGCTCTTCAAGATAAAACTTGGCTACTGTCAGGACCTGTTAATGGAAGGATACTTCCAACTAGGTAAAAAAATGTAGTCTGTGTCTACATACTTTATTTCCTAATGTCTTTTGCTGTTGTGTAGTCATTTTATGATCATGAGATGTCCAGTGGTGTTTCAGAACACCATATTGTCTTCCCTGGGATGTACAGAAGCAGCTTTGCTTTTTGCTATTCCATGCTTTGTGCTGGCTCTCTTAATCAAGTTGTTCCTACTAGGCCAATAGCTTTCTGAAATTATTAAGATGAGTAATTCATTGCAAAGTTGATGCCCTGATAAAGTACAGTTCAATGCTTGCATTAGAACTCCGAAATTCAAAGCAGTTCCAACCTTGCATGTGACTTCTCTGAACATTAAAGCAAAGATATTTTTATGTTTCTTTAAGATGATGATGACTACTTGCCCCCTAACAAGAGACCAAAGAACACTGAGTCACCTAATGAAGCTGCCAGTACTGGGAGAAGAAAAGTGAAAGAGTTCAATTTTGGTAAGATAAGAATTAAAGATTATTTTGTCCCTTTTATTTTATAAGAAGTTATTAAGTAATTTCATACTGCAGAAGTGTGACACATCAGTGCCAATACTCATTGAAGACCCCAAGGCTCTTCTCGGATGTATTGCAGCAGTATCATCATCATCCTAGGCTATCTCTGTTGTTTCTCATGATTCAAAGTAACCATCTAAATAGGCACTGCAAGTGTTTTAATAAAATAAAAATAAGTAATTTTGTTTGCTGATTTTTTGAACAAAAAGATAAGACTGAATTCACTAGTGCACTGAATCAAGACACACCAGAGGTCAGGAGCCTGTCTAGCTGCTCTTTAATACATGCTGTGAACAAGATGTGCTGAGGGAGCCAGATTTGGGAAGGTAACCAAATGACTGGTATAGTGAGTAGCCTGCCTTGATGCCTGTGGACACACAAAGTTGGAGTCTTTCTGGTAATATTCTTTCATGTTAGCTTTTGTAAAGTTCTCACTGCAGAAATGCATCCACATGCTGTAGTTATTCTGGTTAAAGACAATTCCCATGGGATTTGTTGCACTGTATACCTCTCCTTTGTTTCATGGTTTGGTTTCTGGGCAGATAGCCCATGAATCTATGTACTTCCTCAAGGTTCTGCGCAATCAAGGATATGTCCTTTGGCACAGTGTTTGAGATGTTTATTAGGAATGCTGGGATTTGACTTCAATTGGAAAAGTCCCCATGGAACCTTTTCTGACATCTGTTTTGTGTGAAACATGTTATTTCACACTAATTCCACTGAAAATGAATAAAACATTGTTCAGAGCTCTATTATCTAAAGATCATTACTTGTAATAGGCAATTCCACATGTAGCATTAGCCAGTTTTGGTTGGGTCAGGGAAACATAATGGCAACATTAGTAGAGAAGATCGAGCAGTTAATACTGCAGAAGCTTTTGCAAGACTCTTTTCCCTTAGTAGAAAACAGCATCTAAGCTTGGCAAGCCAGCTTGAAGGAATAAACAGTGGAGAGCAAAGAGATATGGAGAGCAAAGATAATTATTAAGATGATAAAAATTTGAGTTGAGCTTGCAGTGTTAAGGCTGCAGTTAAAGAACATCTCTCAATTTACCTACTCCCTGTTCCTTCTGAATTCATGTGGTAGATAATCTCTCTGGGCTTTTTTCCAGGAAAACTTTGCTCTTAGCCACCTGCTGTGCTGTCAGATCACAGTTGTTTGTAGCTCCCAGGATTTTCAGACATCCTGGGCTTCCTAAATTGTATTGAGGTTATTGCCCTTCATCACTCTTGGAGTGCACCTGCAGAAAGTGGTATTTCATAGTGGTGTTGCAAGTTCTGGGTAAAACAAAATGAATTTGAGAAGCTGTGGAGTAGCAAACTTCATTTACTGTAAAGTAAAAAAAGAGCATCTGTTGGTAGTTGCAGTGTTGCTGTTTGGACATTTTGTAAGACCCCACACCTTTGTCTAATAAAGTCTAGTGTTGGATAATTGGACAGGAGAAAGAAGGTGTATAATTCTATCATGAATAGCTGTAAAATGACAAAGGCAAATGCACCCAGAGGACTAAAAAGGAAGGTAAAGATGCTTGAGATACAAAGCTATCTCATCTGATAAGGACTTGTGGTATTTACATAACATAGATGAGATCCAGATGTTCACTAGCTTTGGGTTGGAGACACTTCCTGTATGTCTTGATTGAGTCAGAGATCAGGTACCCCATGTGGCCCGAGAAACTGAAAAATGTGCAGTGCTCTTTGTTTTGTGGAAACAGGAGAACAAAGTGGAAAACTAAATTATTGTAACCCAGGGGAAGAATGAAAAGTGTCTGGTGAGATACTTGATAGAAATTCATCATCTTTGGAAAGAATTTCCAAAATATTTCTGACCCAACTATTTAAGGTTAAAAATATCTTTGCTGGAAGGAACTGACTTTGTCAGTAAAAATCTCTTCTGGCGATGGTTTTTGCTTTCTTAGACATGCTATTGAAAGCTCAGACACTTTGTTGTGTCTTGCAGTTGTAGAATCTTAGAATCATAGAATGTTTTGGGTTGGAAAGGGCCTTAAGATTATCTAGTTCCAACCCCCCTGCCATGGGCAGGACACATCACCCTAGACCATGTTGTCCAAAGGTCTGTCCAACCTGGCCTTGAACACTGCCAGGGATGGAGCATTCACCACTTCTTAGGGCAACGTGTGCCAGTGCCTCACCACCCCCACAGTAAAGAACTTCTTCCTTGTGTCTAACCTGACCTTCCCCTGTTTAAGTTTGAACCTGTTACCCTTACACCCCTATCACTCCAGTCCGTGATGAAGAGTTCCCCTCCAGCATCCTTAGCCCCCTTCAGATACCTGGAGCTGCTCGGAAGTCTCCACGCAGCCTTCTTTTCTCCAGGCTGAACAGCCCTGACTTTCTCAGCCTGTCTTTGTACAGGAAGTGCTCCAGCTCTCGATCATCCTCATGGCTTCCTCTGGACTTGCTCGAGCAGCTCCATGTTCTTCTTACATTGAAAACACCAGAACTGCACACAGTACTCCAGGTGGGGTCTCATGAGAGCAAAATGGAAGGGCAGGATCGCTTCATTTGACCTGCTGGTCACTCTGCTTTTGATGCAGCCCAGCACACGGGTGGTTTCTGGGCTGTGAGCACACACTGAAGTCGTGTTCAGTTTCTCATTGACCGACACACCCAAGTCCTTTTCCATAGGGCTGCTCTGAATCACTTCTCCACCCAACCTGTTGTGTGATACCATTTTAGTGGGAAAAAAAGTCCCCTTAGCTGCTGTCTCACTGTGACAGTGATGGAAAGCGTGCATAGTTTTTCCCTATTTTGACACACCATTGAACACAGGTTTTGCCAGCTGCACCATGCTTAGAATTGCCGTATGTTTTCCATTTTATTTCCCCACAGTACTGTGGGGTATATCGATGGTAATAGGAATGTGCATAGTACCTGAGCATCTTTTCATGTGTGCTGTACAAGTTGTCCCTACTGCAGTGAATGTTACCGGAGCATGTCCCCAGGGAATACAGAACGGGGTAAATTGAAGAGACTGTGGACAGCCTGGGGAAGTTTTCAGGATTGTTATTTAATTGGGATGGTGTTCCCATGTATGAGAAGGTGTGTATATATAGGAATTGAAGGAAGCCACCAGTTATCTTGGTGCTTGTGGGAAAACTGAACTGCTTTGCAGAGAGTGATTACCAAACCAGAGTATCAGCTTAGTTTTGGGTAGGTCTTCAACTTTCCTATGTGAACACAAAGTGTGTCACAAAAGAATGTCTTTACAGTAATTGGTCTGAATCCAAGGAGTTAATAATGCTGACAATTTGATCAAAATTATGCCAGTTACCTGATAACCCCTCTGAATATTGAAATATCTCTGTAGTCTACCTTGACAATTTACTCATGAAATACAAAAGTAGCTAAAAAAAAACCCAAACTAGTGCGCTAATCAAAATGTGATTCAGTTTATGTTTTTTTTAATAACATTTTTCTGTGTATTCACCATTCCAAATAAACGTGCCTGTGTTGTGATGTATTTGATTTTTAATCCCTGTAGTGTTGCCATTAGAGGGAGAGCAGCATGGAAGTAGTAGCTTGAAAAGAGCCACATGGAATATTTGGCCAGTGATTGTGGGGTTTGGTAATTGAGAAAAATGAAGCCTTGACAACTTAATGGCTCATGTAGGAACACTTGTGAGCATGCTAACAAGCAGAGGGAGAGCAGGCTGTGTGGGAGCAGCTTCTACTAAAACTGCAGCAACAGCTATTCAGAACAATATTATTTATAAACTTTTACATGGTTGCTTTGTAATATGGTATGACATGCTTTTGGCAGTGCTCCCTCTGACGAAAACCAGGCTGACATTTCATAGAATCACAGAATCAACCAGGTTGGAAAAGACCTTTAAGATCATCGAGTCCAGCTGTTCCCCCAGCACTGCCAAGGCCATCACTAACCCATAGCATTGAGGGCCTCACCTACATGGTTTGTGAACACTTCCAGGGATGGTGACTCCACCACTGCCCTAGGCAGCCTGTTCCAGTGACTGATTGAAAGGGAGAGGAGATGGTTTGCTGAGTTTGTCCTGGAGTTTGATGAACTGAAGGTGTCTCAACTCTGAGACAGTTTACTTTGGGTTACAATCTAGTATTTCACAAGTGCCCTTCAAAACCCTGGGCTGTCCATGTGTGTTGACCAGCTCTGCTGAGGAAAGCAGGGTTTCCCCTTTAGGCCACTAAATTCTGACTCATATTTTCCAGACTCTTACTGGAAAGCTGATGCTAATCCATGTTCAAATCCATTGGTCAACAGAAAGCGCTGTCAGAGGTTGTACTGCAGTCAGAACTTCATTTGGCTATACATCTGCAGAGGGGGAAATGTCACAGAAATGACACAGGAATAGAGAATATTGAGCTCAAATTGTTTTTATCATCTAAGAAGCTGTGCACTACAAAATAGCAGCAAAAAGGGTGGCAGAAGCAATTATGTAGATTTATCCACAAGGATGCTACTTCAAAATATAAACAGGTTAATTGGTGTAGGTGATATGCCAAGTGATTAGAATGAAGAGTTTATGTGTGAATGCAAGGCAGTATGCCAAAACACCCTTTCCCCTCTAACCAAGGTCTTATTCTTGCCCACATCTGAAGCATGCTGTCCTGTTTCATGATATCCATGAAATTACATTAGAAAAACATAAGCTTAAACATGAAAACCAAAGTTGTCTGGGTTGGTCTGAGAATGAATATTTAAACCCCTTTCGATACGGACTTGAAATTCAATTCTCTGTGTTGTCTGATATAAGAAATTTTTGACAACTGAAGTGTAACAGCTTAGATCATGTCATTTTTTTAACCTCTGTAGCTACTTAGATTCAGGTGTTTGGTGTAAGAAAGAAGGTGTAAGTACACTTGCTTATTAACTCATTCTTCAAAGGCCAGCCAGCATCTGGTACTGTCTACAAAAGAGTTGTGCACTTTCCTAAAAGCATTGAGATAGTACAAAAGGCTCTGAAAACATGTGCTCTCTGTTGCAGGCAGAAAATTAGATGTTAAAATTCTGCTGTTTAATCCAGCTTTCCGTGGAACACACGATTGGATTTGGATAGCTTCTGTTCTGCAGCCTGTATCTGCTTTCAGAAATAGGATTTACGGGGATATTTTGCAACATGAGGACTTAGAGAAATACTGGATTAAGGTAGAGGATTGCACGATGCCTCCTGACCCAGATAGTTATACATAGTTGTGCTAAAACAACTCTGTGTACTGTCTCTAAGCTTTATCAAGCTTCAGGAATTGGGCTTTTCAGCACCCAGATTTAGATAATTATCATCACCAGCTGCAAGATGACTTTACCCCAACGGTAAGGATAGCTGCTGACTGAGCTCTCAAAGAGAAACCATTTTTGGAAGTTATTTTAGCCTGGTTTGTGGGGTTTTTTTAGACTTGATTTATCATCTGCACAGGTTTAGGAATTAAAGATTTTATTCTATAATTTTTCTTTCTGAATGTATCGATATAATTTAAAGTACAGCCTATAGTATACTCATAGAATCACAGAATGGTTTGGGTTGGAAGCTCACCCACTTCCAACTTTCCACTAGAGCAGGTTGTTCCAAGCCCTGGCCTTGAACACTGCCAGAGACAGGGCAGCCACAGCTTCTCTGGGCAAACTGAGCCAGAGCCTCAGCACCCTCACAGGCACCTGTGTGCAAGTGAGTAGTAAAAACACACTGCGTGTTTCGGTTGGCGGTAACATCCATTTTACAGGAGATTCTCAGTTTGGTTTGTAGTCTGACATGTCCTCCTCTTTTCCCTGCAGAGAAATGGAATGCGCGAATTACAGAGTTGAGAAAGCAAGTTGAAGAGCTGTTTGAGAAAAAATACGGTATGTGTTACACTCCCTTCCAAGCAATTGCCTCTACTCCTTTTCCACCTAAATCACGTGTCTTGTTGGTTCAGGAACACACAAGTGCTGACAGCGCCAAAGGGTTAAATATTATCAGAAGACTTAAATCTGGGGAAAGAAGCTTTTTCAATGAGAAGAGCAATTTCAAAATTGGCACCTAAGTGAGAAACTTTATCTTTCAGTTGTGCTGGGTTTCCTGGAGCTCCAGCATGCTCATGTCTTGGGCACCCGTATTTGAAGAGAGCTGCCTTTTGTTTCTGTATTTATACCGAGTTCTTAAGTGAAATGATCTTTTAAAACGGCTCTGGGGAGAGATTACTACTGATTGACTTTTTCTCTCTGGTTATGATTGATCTGCAGTGAAGCAACATCATATATTAATGGTTCTTGGAGAGAAAAACAAGCACACATCTTAGACTTTGGAATTTGTCTCTAGATGCTGCACCAGATGTATTTTGTGCCCACATATCACAGCCTGAAGGTGTATCATCAAAACTTTCAAAACAAATAGTGGTGCTCCTCTTCTGTGAAAAGTGGAATTGCTTTCATAATGGAACTTGTGATTTGGAGTTACTACATGTTTTGGGTGTGACTAGAGTCTGATATGTAAACAGCCCACTGAAAGCAAGTCACACCAAGTAAAAACAGTTTAGAATCTGATTCACAGTATTTTAATTGCTCTAGAAAGGAGCATCATCTGGGTAAATTGCTTTAATTTGGGTTTCGGTGTTCGCACATAACCAGCCTAAAACTCTCCTGTGGAGTCTGTTGAATACAGAGATATTCTTGACTCTCCATAGCAGGCCATATGGTCTTAAATTATCCCCCTTTTCCCTGTGGATGGCAAAATTTCATTAATTCACAAGCCAGTTCCATATCAGAATCTTTCTGTCTGTATGGGCATGCAATTTCCCATTTACTGAGATGAGTTATGGATATCCAGCATTCCTAGAATGCTGCTCAGATTTGGTTGTTTCTGTAGCTCCAAAGTGTTCTAGCAGTGTCAGTCACTGTCATCCGTTGCAACTGACATGTATGAAAACAGATTTAGTTTTGTGTTTAGATGTATGCTAAATGGGATTACTTTTTAGTGTGGCTGATATATATGTCTTAATTTATAAAAATAAAAGCTATATTCAAGAGGATTTCTATTGTAAAACATGTAAGGTTACAAATCTAAGAGTCCTCATTGCAATGCTGATCATGTTTTTAGGCTGTCTGAAGAGTTTGCTAAAACATTTGCTGATTTAATAGAAATAGTCTGATTTTTCACTTGTAGAAACGTAGTCGCTTATTTAAACAGACAGGATTTTTGTTACTCTGAAGCTGTTTTTACTTGATGTTGTGTAGTGATTTAGATGTCCTTGATCTTTTTTCCTGTGGCTGTGGTTCACCAACTATCATTTCCATCTGAGGCTTGTCTGCTGAACTTGTTATGCTTCTCGCCACTTGACACAGAAGCCTCCAGGGCTGAAAGTAGCTTTTTTCCCCCATTTCTTGGAAGAGGAATATGACTGCAAAAAAAATGTAATTTAATGAAGAACTGGTGCGATACACGATACGCAACAGCTCCTTCAGTGATTGTTCTGCAGCTCCTTTGACGCTAGTTTGAACAGAGTTTCTTCAGTCTATTTGCAAAGAGTCATCTTCAGGTTCATGTCCATCTCTGTGTGTATGGATTCTCTCTCCAGTTTTGGCCATCTTATATTTGGCAGCTGAAACTCAGTCTAGTTGAAACACAGTTCTTAGAGTCCTCACAGACCTCTTAGAGTGTTATCAGAATGTAAGACTTAGATGCATGCAGTATTTTCAAAGCTTCCCTGTTTTGTGATAAACATGCCTAGGAACTGTTTTGCTTCCAAGTGGTTGAAAGAGCATGTTACTCAAATGCCTTTAAAACTCAAAGCGTCTTACTGCTTTTAAGAATTTGTGAGTTAATACAAGCATTTTGTATATACCACTGTCAGAACCACTGACTGCTTTCACATTTCCTTAAACTGCTTGAAAAGATGCCCTGTGGGTAGTTTTGCTTTCAGAAATGACGCAACATCACTGTACTCTAAAATCGGCCTTAGCTTTGCTGTTCTTTCTTCAAATAGTTTCTTGCATCTAATTGCTGGAGCAAACCAGATTGTACCAAACTTTGCAGACCAGTCAGATGGTAATAGAGAGTTCTTGTTGTATGGCCTGCGGAATTAACATACCCCTGTGAGCATAAAGAAAACAGTCCTCTTGGTATTTGCAAGCCATGATGTCTCTGTTTGCCAGCTTTATAGGTGTGTTGGTATGAATACAGTCCTTATAACCTGAAGAAATACACTGAAATTATTTTTCAGCTGTGGGTAAATCTTGTTTTCATTTACTTCAAAGATTTCATTAGTAAGACCGTGCTTTAGAAGTGTACTGTTTATTTCATTAGTGATTCTTTGGCTTTGTAAAATATACCAAAGCTTTAGGAATTCACTCAAAAGAAGGCATGTGTGCCCCTCCTCCAAGGCATTAATGACTCTTGTAACCCAGTAGTAGTAATGAATAGTCATAATCAGAACTAATGAACTGAAACATGCTTGGTTTATAATTAAGTCCAGATAACTTCATCTGTCAAAACGTGCTGTTAAACAAAACCAAAATACTGTTAAACTTTGCTGTAGCAGGTGCAGTCTCTGTTATTAAATGTTTACAGGGTAAAGGGAAAAGCCAATCTGCATATGTAGGCAGGTCTGCAGCTTGTTTACTGTGAATTAGAGTAATTTTGCTATAAAACAAAACCAGCCCCCTTCAGTGAATGCTTGCATGTTTGAATGTGTTGAGGGGGTTGTTGCCTGTTGCTGGTTTTAATGTTTTTCAGAGTGATACCAAACAGATAATTTGAGCAGAGCCACGAGCCAGTCTAACGATTTTATTCTCCTTTTATCTTGAAGCACAAGCTATAAAAGCAAAAGGTCCTGTGTCCGTCCCATACCCACTCTTCCAGTCACATGTGGAAGACTTATACGTGGAAGGGCTGCCAGAAGGAATTCCCTTCAGGCGGCCATCCACCTACGGCATTCCCCGTCTTGAGAGGATACTTCTAGCAAAGGAGCGGATCCGGTTTGTGATTAAAAAGTAAGGAATTTTGTATTTGTGTCCCTGTATTACTCATTGTTTTCTGCTGAATCCACTCTGCTTCATTTTGTTTTCCAGAACTTCCAAACTTCAGTGGTGGCTGAGATCTAGACAGGTCTCTTCAATAGTACAGACTTCTTGTAACGGACAGATCTCTTTGTACTATTTTAATCATTGATACTTGTTGAAAGCCATTGACTTGGGGATGTTCTATGCTATCCGAGGATCCTGGCCTAAATTTTAGCTTGTGCCTTTATTTTTTTCTTGCTGGAATGCTGTATCAAGGTGTCTATGGCTGTATCTGCATATAGGACGTCCCAGGGCTGGCTTGAGGACAAAATAGCTATTGGCCTGTGGTTTACTTGGATCCATATCCTTATGTGTCTGGAGGTAGATTAGATAGTGTACATGAAGGGAGGGGACCTTAGATGTATGTAGAAGCTGCTTGAGGGCTCCACAGCCTGCCATAGCAAGCCTGGCAGGGTATTGTCTGCCTTGATAGTGAGGCCATGAGATGCTTTGGACACCTTTCTTCTGCTTTTCCTCCTTTCTTCCCTTGGTGTCTTTTCTAAAAGAACCCCGACATTACTTTCTGCAAATGCAGGTGGGATTGGAAGGGAGCCTGGATGGAGCCTGAATTCAGGATATGCAGGGAGAGCTGCCAGCACCTGTAGATGCTGAGTGCTGGATCTCTGAGCTGCAGAGCACTTTGAGACCCAGTACTGTGGAAATGACTGTGGCAGACTGATCCGCAGCTTTGGTCATGGGTGGTTATTTACCTTTGACAGTTTTGTGCTTCACTTCAGACAGATGTGATGTTTCACACCACAGAAGCTTCATTTACAGCTTAAATAGAGCTTCTGTGACTAACAGCTGACATTTTACTGTTGTTCAGTGCTGTAGCCAAATGTTTTTCAAGCGAATAGCAATGTGCTGATTGCAGTGGTCGAGTTTATGTCTCTGCCTGCTGCCTTTAGCACAGATGCTAGCTTCTTGAACTTAGATGTGTATATTCATCTATATGTCATCCTAATGCCTACAGATAACCAGAAGAGATGAGAGTAGATCTACCTTTGTCTTACTTGTCAAAAAAAAACAGTTCAGCTCAGTGAGAAATGTCAGAATTTTTAGATTTTTGTGATTTTCATGTAGGTAAAACTCAATATATTTGGGAAACAGAAATGTCTGCTTTGAGATTTTCATTTTTTAAGGTTAAATTTTTGATTGGATCTTTGTTTCTAATGAAGTGCATCTCGGGCTTAAGAGATAGTTTTAATGTCATCTGCATGTTAACATGAAATGTTGTGACTCAGCTGCATATGGTAATGGGCATGAAAAATGTTTTTGTCAGTAGGGTTTCAACCAGCTCTAGAACACTTTGGTGTTAACTGGAATTTAATGTTGGGGGTCTTGATGTCCCCTGTTTTGTTTCAGTTTTGTGATCCTTCAGTGGTAACCTGAGGCTGTAACTACTGGTTTATCGAAGTGTGTGTCACTGCTGAAGCATGTATCTTTCATCTTTTAGGCATGAGCTTTTGAATTCAACACAAGATGCGCCATTGGACAGACCTGTTGCAGGAGATATGTGTGAGTTGTGCAAGTACAGTATGATTGCCTGTTACTCATCTTCATAGTGGTGTCTGTAGTGGTCACCATTATAGTAGTTTCTACCATTTAGTTTTACTAATAACACATTGCAAATAGTTCCTCTTGTTTTACATCTCCTTTAGCTACCAGGTGAAAGCAATATTCCTCTGACTGTACAAGCCAGTGCTGCTAACACTGTTATCAAATGATTTGATTCAGCTGGCCAGAAACAAAAACAATGAGCTAAGTGTTACTCTGAGATATGGAGAAAAAGCAAAGTTGATAGATTTTACTGGCTAGAAAACTGTATGATGGAATAATTGCTTTATAAGGTACTTACCAAAATTAGATTTAACTGAAATTCAGTAATGAACATAGTGGCTACAGTAATATTTATTATTGTAGAATCTGACTTGCTTGGATCATGGGACTTTTTATTATTCCGTTTTCACACAGCATTGCAAAGAAAATGTATTCTAACCAGTTTTGCAGCAGATGCATGCTCTACAGTGGCAGCCATGAGCTCATTTCCCTTCAAGCTGAGAGAAAAAAGTTCAATATAGAAAGAAAAAACACAAGTTTTAAAATAATGGTGTCTTTGTATGGGCAATAGTTTGGAAATTACTTTTCTGGACTTGTTTTTTTTCTTCAGTTGTATTCTACTGTCTCTTGGGCTTCAGGGTGGTTTTTAATTGTCCAATTAAACTAAGAGTTGAAAGCTTCTGTGCCTGAACCAATGGTAGCAGACAAATTGCTCCCAACCCCAAAATGCTAAGTGGCAACCTCAGCCTGGTTGAACTGTGAATTTTTACTAGCACCAGAGAAATTCTTGGTTCAAATAAGGATGCAAGCATATAAATGGTAGTATCTGCACTACTGCAGCACCATTATATTCTGTTATATACTGATAGTCTTCTGTTGTAAAAAGTGTATCAAAGACTCTACTTAAAGTGAACATTACAGATATGAATTATGTCATGAGGGTGTCACTTTAACATGTGTGTAGGAATTAAACTTTTCCTGCAGTCTAAGTTAACCTAGTGTCCTGACTCTTAATAACGTGCTGTTCCTTCAAGCACCAAATTTGACTACAAAAATAGTAGGTAGGCTGATGACTGAGTCATAAACCTAACTGTACTCTTACGTAGGTTTTAAAATTGGCCTTTTTCTCTGTTTTTGTTGTATTTAATACGGTTATACTGAAGACAAAACAGGTACACTATGTATCCCGTAAAACCCCTGTAGCTAAGGGGGGTAACTCATTTTAATGGCACATTTTAAGAGTCACTCTGTGTTGCTTGCTTCACTAGCTTGTGATGATAGTATATTCATGTGTGCCCCCTGCATTATTTCTGAGAGGACATCTGTGAAAGCTGTTGATCCTATCATAGGGATAAGAAGACAGGAGCTGTCTGAGCCTCCTTTCCCTCAGTTTTCTTTTCTCCCTGTTTGGATTCCCTCTTTCCCAGTAGCTCTGCTGCTCCTTGTGTCTGCTACCATCTCAGGAGAGAGCTATGGAGCACCAGCCCCTGTTCTCAGCTCCTTGTGGCTCCATGTCCAGTGTCCTGCTCTGTCCATAGCCCCTGCTAGCCTGTGTCCTGAGGAGAGGAATGGGATGGGTGCAGAAGCTGTAGTTTGGTTGGCAGAAGGAAGATGATTTGCATTTGCATTCCTGTGGGAAGTAGGCTTGTCAGGAAGATTTTATAAAATGGCCTCAGCTCTGATGCCCTGAGAAGGCTGATACTGGCTCCAAGAAAAGCCAGTCAAGCAGTAATGATTTGGTTCAGGAGTGACTGGAGAAGTATAAGCTAGGTTTTCCTAGTTCCAGGTTGAATCCATACTTCTTCTGCATAGTATTTTCTGTGTTATTGGGAAATGCAGGATGGTTGTGCATGCTATAAGCTGAACGACTGAAAGTACAACCAAAATGATAGGGAATGTTCTTTTTGTTCTGTGTCACTCTCAAATACAGTGAAAGAGGAGTGGCTTGCCAGAATGACCAAACTGAGAAAGACGGTAGATCAACTCTTCTGTAAAAAGTTTGGTGAGTTCAGTATTGCTGTTTTCTTTTCTGGCTTTGTATTTCTTGAAGGTTGCTTTCCTAATTTCCTTTGACCATCTACATGAAAGAGACCTTTGATCAGTGTTTTCAAATATTTACTATCCTGGCACTTGAGTGAAGAACAATGTATTTCTTTACTGCTTATGCAACCAGGTAAATTCATCGTTTAAAAAAGTATGTCTTGTATTTACAGCTCTTCTCATTGCTCTCAATTCCATCCTGTTTGGTTAGTTTTTCCTTTGATGGGGAATAAAACAACCATTTACTTATTTATATCCATTAGTATTAGAATACTTCTGGGTGAATTTTCATGTTCTCTCCAATATAAAAAAAAATAGTCAGCTTCAGAAGAGCTAGAATAAAATGTTGTGTCATGCTCTATAATAGATTAAAACCTTCAGATAAAACTATGGCTTTATGCCCCAGTGAGGAACCCAGTAATCTTCAGTTAGCATTGGGCCTGCCCGATAGCAACATGATACAATAAGGTAGATTCTTATGGGTTTGAGATTTGGACTCTCTTGTGTTTAGATATCCTACATTGTCCCTGGTTCTGAGATAATGATTACAACAGCCTGAAGAATCAGTAGCTTAGCTAGCTTTTAGTAAAGGTTGATGGCTGAACTGTCCGGTTATTGATGTATTTTGTTCTCAACAGCCGAGGCCTTGGGGAGCACTGAGCCTAAAGCTGTTCCATACCAGAAATTTGAGGCCCATCCTAATGACCTCTATGTCCAAGGGCTGCCAGATAACATCCCCTTTAGGAGTCCTTCCTGGTATGGAATCCCTCGCCTAGAAAAAATCATTCAAGCGAGCAACAGAATAAAGTTTGTGATCAAGAGGTACGTGTTTGGTTTAATGCATGAACATGTTTGTGGTTGGGGTTGTGTTGTTTTGGTTGTTTGGATTTTTATTTTAACAAAGAGGCCCAGCAAAGCTTCCTTCGTGTCATCAAGCAGTTGACTTCATTAAGTCATGAAGCATTCAGTTTCTAGTTGGCAAATAGGCAGATTAAATATTCTGCATTATAAAGTGGCTATATGCAATTTGGGCAAGTCTTCCAAAATATCTTTGTAGTGTTCGCAAGTGTGAAATGCATAATAGAAAAAACCAAACTTTTCCATTCTTTTCAGGGTAGGTAATGGTATTTAGTTAATGTCAAGAATGGGCAGATTATTTGTTTTCTGGTTGCAGGCCAGAGCTTCTAAGTGTCTCTTCAACTGAAGTTATTCAACCCAAGTCAAACACCCCAGGTAAGACAGATGCTGTCTCCAGGTGGGAATGGAAGGGTTTGGTGGGGAAACACATTTGGATCAATGTAACAGTTTTCAAGAAGTGTGGTGAGTGTGCTGACATGCTCTTCGTGAGGTCTGAAAAGAATAAATTGATCATTATGAGCATGGATGGCTTTTTGCCACAGATGTAGAGCAGAAGGAGACGGCAGCATTGGAGTTGGTTTAGGGTGGTTTTTTTGTGGGGTTTGTTGGTTGGTTTTGTTGCCAAAATCCTGATTGTCACCAGATTTGACAGTGAATCAGTAGCAGCATGTGTCAATGGTAGCAGTAAAAAAAGCAGCTAATAGAATCCTCTTTCTGAAAGAACTGATGCACAAGGATCATGATTCTTAAAACTCAGACTGTTCGTGTGTTCAGAATGATGTTTCTTTTTTTACCCTTATTTCACTGTATTTTTCACTAACTTCTCAGTGAGCCTGGTGTTACCAGTGCCCACAGAGCTTACCAGGGTCCAGGCAAACACAGCAAACGTTCTCTTGGGATAGAGCCCAGTGAAAACCATTTTTCCCAGGCAGCAGCTGAGGATCTTATTGAAGATGCAAACTTCATGTTGCTAAAGAATATTAGACCTTTTTTAAATCGAGGTATTACTCTGTTGCAAAGTCATAATCCTGTGCCCTCAATAGATAGTGTGTGAACAGCAGTTTAATTTCTTAAGGTACATCAGTCAGTCTGATTCCTTTGTTGGTAAGACCACAACATGTGAACAGTATAAACACATGTGCAGGTGTTAAGCAGCTGTGAAATCTATCACGTGAGTAGGACAGATTGCAAAAACTATTAATGCATCTTGCCTTGAAAAATCCTAGAAGCTAGAAATAAACTAGGTCAGGTAATTTGTTAGTCCTAAATATGATTTGGAAACAAAAAAAAATCCTGTATAGCTTCCTTCATGCATGCTTTCCACAACTCTGGTTCTACCTCAGGAGCAGGTAATTGTTATTTGTGGGTTATGATTAAAAAGTAATGAACTCTGATGCTGTTTGTCAGAAAAGAAGTGCTTTTTATCGCTGCTAGTGTTCTTTGCTTTCTTCTCTGGCTAGTGCTCCTGTAATTGGCTTTTATTTGCAATAGAAAACAGGAGTGAAGATGATTTTATTTTTTTTAATGCTAATCAAAATGTTTAGCAGAGCACTCCTTAAATCCTCATCTTTTATTCTAAAGAGTGTTATTATGCACAATGATGAATTAATTCCAGTCTGTAAAAGCCACTAGAATAATTTCTTCCTGTGTTTGAAGGTTCTGAAGATCAAGTTCTCCTGCTTGGGCCAATGACTGAAATACGTAACTACATTTAAACAGATTTTTCCATTATGTAGAAGGAATTGCGTGTATCGTTTAAGCTGTCATTAATAATCATTCTTCATTGTGTGGCCTTGTTGACTGTGATTGTGTTGATAGTTTTACAAGTTACTGTGTTAAAAGAAATGTGTTTGAATGTATGTCTTTATCAGAACTTGGTAATATTCTGACATATATCTGGTTTTCAGTGAAAGAAGATTGGAATATCAGGATCGCAAAGCTAAGAGCGCAAGTAGAAGAGATATTTAATACGAAGTTTGGTAGGTTAAATGTTAAATGAACTGTTTCATAATTCTGCTGCATTTTAAAATTCTTCTGTGAAAAGAGTTTTAAATTTTACTTATTTAAACATCAGAAATGTACCAGGACAGATACGGAAATCTTGACTCCTCTTGCCTATTTTTTACTGACTCTTCCCTGTAACTGACATAAATGACTTTATAACAACATCCTAGGCCTAAGAAAGTTCTCAGAAGAAAATATTAGGCACTGCAGGCTAAGGTGTTACCTGTAATAAGATGAACTAAGTCCCCATTTGCAGATTTTCTACAGAAAATAATAGAAAATCTGATTAAATATTTCTCTTGGGTTTGTTTTTTATTATCTGAGTAGCAGAGCTTCTGTAAGCCAAGCTTCTTAAAATCACTTGAGATGAAATACCACCCATTTGAATGTGTGAACTCTCATCAAATCTCTATTTACAGGCCAAGCTCTGGGGCTTTCAGAGGCAGTGAAAGTTCCCTATCCTGTATTTGAATCAAACTCTGAGTACTTGTACGTTGAAGGCTTGCCAGAAGGAATCCCCTTCCGGAGTCCCACGTGGTTTGGAATTCCACGCCTTCAAAGAATTGTCCGTGGGAGTGGCAAAATCAAATTTGTTGTTAAAAAGTATGTTTGTAATTCAGTTATTTTTACTCCTGATTTTGAAGTTATTTGATTTGCTTTAGGCTTTAAATGTTACCTAAATTCTGTTTCTATGAAACAGAACATTTTGCATGTAATTTATCTCATGAAAGGATATACTGTTTTAATAAATTTATATAGATGTATAAATTGCACAATTCATGCCGGAAGGATCTGGCGAGTAAATGGTCTTGTTTCTGGAGGCTTTTTTCCCTTCTTTTGTTTTTTTTTCCTTTAAATAAGTCCAGAAGAACATTCCAGGGTATAAAATGTAGCTTAAAAGTGATAAAACCTTTTGTGGTTTGTAATAGATGGAGAGTCACCCATGCTTCTAGCAGAATTCCATTTTAGAGAGCTGATGTTACATAAATTGGAGCTCAGCTGAATTCCCAGAAATGTGTAGCATTTGGCTGTATGTTTTTTTGTGCGTGTGTAATTGATTAGATCATGTCCTGTTCAACTTTTAGGCCTGAGCTTGTCACCTCCTATTTGCCTCCAGGACTGGCTAGTAAAATAAACACTAAAGGTAAACAATTAAGTATTATTTGCTGCCATCAATTCACAAGTACTTATTTTCCTCTTCCTTAGCAGATTGAGAGGTCTTTCAAAAATAGGGGTGTTGCAAACAAAAGGCATCATTTACGATGACCTAGCATAGTAGCCTCTAAACCTGCTGTTATCAGAGAAAGTTATGCAAAACAAATATAATCTACTTTTAGCTGAGATTATTCCAGTACAGAAAATGGAATTTACCTGATTTCAGCAACTTTCATTTTGCTATTAATGGCCTAAACCGTAAGTAATTTACAGCTGTGAACTGAAGGAAATAACAATGAAGTTTTGTAAGAAAAGAATAAAAAAGAAACTCTTTGAAGTTGTCATAAAGATTCAGAAGTTAACAGTTTTGTTAATAAAAAGTTCCAAAGCTGTCCTTCACAACGAAGTCTTCTGAGTTAGTCAGTGAAAGCTGAGGTGTGATACCTGCCTTTTTTGAGTGTACTAAGCTCCGTTTTTAAGGATGTGAGTGCCTCTGTGTTGTTCAGGATTTACAATGCAGACTGTACTTAGTACAGGTACAAGTGATTCTTCAGTCTGCTGGAGCTTGCAGAATCCACCTGCTTTTTCATTACTGGTGCAGGATTTCCATTCTAGAGGGTTTGTACATTACACCTTATATTATGTTGATTTCCAGCAATGAGTCCAAATTGTTCAAAAGGATCACAGAGTCCTGCGGGTAACTCAACTGTTCCAGAGATTGAAGTTACTGTTGATGAAGGTATGGAAGAAGTATCATTAAATATTCTTCTAATGTTCTTCTGTTCTTCTAATGTTTTCTGTTGTTCTCAGTTTTCAAAGCCCATAATTAACACCTCATATGAACCTCATGTGGCAAACACAGTTTTATTTTTCATTTTTGAATAATTGGGTAGATGATAGTTACGTAAAATGTTGGAGTTAGACAGCTTGCTTGGGCCTTTCATTCCAGGCAGAGATGTGGGACTGATGTAGTCCTAAGCAGAGAAATGACAGACATGATCAGTAGTGTCAGATGCTTAAATACAATCCTATAAGAACTTTTTGATGGGTTGTTTGTTCTACTCTTGATTCAGTTTTCTCTAGTAACCAAGTTTGATGTGTTGTTCTTTTCATATGATGGCTTGCTTGTGCTCTCTGCATGAATATCTTTAACACTTTTTACAGGTCCTAATAAACCACAAACAGCAGATGCTGGAACCAATTCTCAGACCAATGGGTCCAATATGACTTACAAGCCACGAAGAAAAGAGTTTTCTTTTGGTAAATATTGTGGGAATTAGCACACATGCATTCTATTAATGTTGGTACTGAAATTTCTGGTGATTGCCTATAAGAGAGGTTTTGAATTCATGTTTTGTTGTACACTTAGTGAATGACTGAAGTCTTGTTTTCATGTAAATTCAGGTTTTTGTCATGTAGAATAATCTGCATCAGAAAAATCCTGGATGCTTTATGGAGAATGCTGTACAAATGCAGTGCTAGTCCACTAGCTCTTATTAATGTAGGTTCAAAATCAGTCCCTTTCTGCTTCTGCTCTGTTTCAGTGCTGCAGATCCTTGAAGGACTTTTCTGGTGCACAGCACCACCAGAGCACAGAAACCCAGCTGAGATCTGATGTGCATGAACTTTAATAAGCTGATTTTGCACAATTACCATTATAGGCCTCTCCAGTTCTGGAAAATCGGTATAGGAAAAGCCAGACAGGACTAGAAGTCATGTAGTTGTGTTGTTCTATTTATATAGAAGTTTGTTGTATTTGATTTATTTTATATGTGTGCATCCTTTTTTTAGTCCTATGATCATAAAACACGAATCAAAAGGAATTCTTTATTCCTGCTGTGTAGGAGTTTAAAATTAATGTAAGACACCGATTTGGTGCGACTCCCCCTTTTGGCATGGGCAGTATTCGTATTCAGAGTTATGTAGAGTTTTCTTAGCCTTGCTTGTTATTGTTAGAAATAGGCTTTTAAAAAACAAGAAGTCTGCAACTGTTTAAACTTTCAGCTGAATTTCTCATTTTGTAGACCCGCTACAGACCACTTTTGCAGCCACAAGTAAACTGGTTTAGGAAATGCTGCTGATTTCTGTCAGAAACAACATGTCTAGCTAGATGGACACTTAATCTTACCCACTGAGGATGAAACTATGCTAGAGTTTGTGGTTCTCTAGAGAGGCATGTTTCTGGGCTGTGCCTCTGAGCATGTGAAGAACTTTCTGCCACTATTTTGGGTGCTGGTTCAGATTAATAGATTTTATGGTGCCTGATACTGTAAATTTGGATCACCTTTGGATTAATTTCAATTTTTTATCATCTTTCCTTTATCTAGTAGCAGTATATTTCAAAGCTTCAGGAAAATGAGGATTGATATGGATATAGGTTTAGACCACAACAGAATGTTTCAGTGCTGTTTGCAGAATGAAAGCCACTTTGCACATTTTACTGTCATAGTAAATAGGTTATCAAGCATAAAAATGTATTAAACATTTGTTAAAATGCTTGTCAAGGACTGATGTGTTGTGTGTGTGTTGATTTAATTCTAATTTCTTCCTGGCAGAGGCGTGGAATGCCAAAATCACTGACTTAAAGCAGAAAGTCGAAAATCTTTTTAATGAAAAATGTGGTAAGTTTATCGATTCCTTTTTACTGAGATGTCTTTCTTATGAACAGGCAGTTAGATGTATGAGAGAGAAGTTCACATGTTTATTCCAAAGGTCCTGCAGTCCTTGCATACTGTAGGTAATTTCTTACCTAAGTTCATTCTCATGTAGTTTGCTTACAATTCTGCATCACATTTCCACTACTTACTTTATTTGGGTTTGGAAATTGAGAAATTGTAGTAGTTGGATTACTGCTTCTTTAATGATCCAGAGGCATTGTGAATCCACATGCTGGAACATCTTTTTAAGCTTTCTTCATTCTGCTTATGAGTTGGAGCTTTGTATGACTTCAGCCTCAGCATGACTCGAAATGTTATGAATGGTATCTGGAGAGACATGCTCTGGTTATCCCAGTGCTGCTTCTAGTGCATGCTGTTTGAAAGCTAATCACTTTTGAAAGCATTGACTTCTCATTATTCTTCTGATTTGGGTTTTTTAGCTCAAGAGCACTAATCTCAAACGGCCTTTGTACTGCTCTCTAGAAGAGACAGGGACAGAATGCATTGCCCTTAAAGTGGAGTACAGATGGCATAGTCTTGTACACAGACCAAGCCAGTGGCATGAGCTGGGTGCAAATAATTCGTTTTCAACTGCAAATTCTGATCAGATTTACTGCAACAGAATGAGTTATGTTTAAGACTATTAATTTTATTCCTGCCTACTCATAGCTGTCACCAAAAAAAGGCAACGTGTGATGGTTTCACGTAATCTGTCATGTATGTGCCAACTATTACATACTATTTCTACCTGAGGTTTTCCTTTTTATATACACATCAGTTATCTCAGTGGTCACTTATTGCTCTGTTGTATTTCAGGTGAAGCTTTGGGGCTGACTGAACCGGTGCAGGTGCCATTTGCGTTGTTTGAATCGTCCCCGGAGGTTTTCTGTGTGGAAGGACTACCCGAGGGGGTGCCATTCCGCCGACCTTCTACTTTTGGAATTCCAAGACTAGAGAAGATCCTGAGAAACAAATCTAAGATAAAATTCATTATTAAAAAGTAAGACTCCCATATGTCTTCAGTAATCCATCCTATGAGAATTGAAATGTAGACCAAAAAAATGAAATTGGGTTGCTGAGTTGCTAAATTACTCCATAAAATACACACTGCGATATCCTCAGTAAATGAGGAAATGGTCAGAAAGCTCTTGTAGAGGTGGAGCAAGATACAGTAAGTTCTTTGTTCTGAAAGTCACTCACAACCTGTTTCGGGAAGGAAGAGCAAGGCTAGATTCCTTGCTCTTCCATTTCATTTATCAAATCACTGGTTTAGTTCCTGGTGTGTGGAGCAGTAGGGGATTACTCGTAAAACTTGCTTGCAGTTTTTTTGAGCTGTGAGGTGGAGATTCATATATTGGGGGTTGTAAGAATTTACTTTTATTGTCTATAATAGGTTTACATGTGCCAGTGGCAAGAGAAGTTGTGGAGCCTCTCAGCCATTGTATTCTTGGCTGTTTGGGTGAGAGGATATCCCTTAGTTCCTGTCTTTAATAAATTGCTATTAGAAAGTTTTATTTTCTTTAATGCTGATAAATGTAATTGTATTCTTCTACATGAAATGTTCAATCTGTTTGCAGGCCTGAGATGCTTGAGGCAGCTGTTAAGGAAATTTCTGCTAGAAGCCCCCAAAGTGAGTTCTGCAACTGCTTAATGTTCTAGATAACTGTCTTTTTCAAGGATTCACTACGAATCAGGAGAGCTGCATGGTGTTAACTAATTCCTGAAAGATTCATTCTGCATTGTGGGTTGGTTTATTTTGTTTGGTTTGTTTTTAAGATGAGCAAAGCACCAGTTACAGTTTAAATGCAGCTTTAGCAAGAGAGTATTACATTTTTTGAGGTTGCTCACAATAATCATGCTTCTAATATGTTCTTTACTCCCTTTTTTGAAAATGTAACAAATAATGTGTGATCCACAGAAGTAATTCAGGTCTAGAGAGAAATTATTTGTTTCTACTATGTAGGTCATCTAAATGACAAGTGCGCCACAGATAGGCATGCGGATAGCGAGTAGGAAATTGTGTCAGGCAGGTCATGGGTTAAAAGTTTTCAATCATGTTTTTATCTGTTCTTATGGGTTGTCAAAACTCTGCTGAGTTACTTGAGCTATGCTAGCTTGTGCCATTGGACAGTGGGGCTCACAAACATAACTGTAAGGGATTTCTCTTCTGAATGCACACAAGGAACACATGGGTCAGTAGGTGTTACTGAATTAACTGCAAGTGCTGTGATTTTTCTGTTAATAAGAATACCAAAATATATGCTCCACATACTTCTCTTTTCCTTAACAGTCTTTTTAGAAAACCAGATAGGTAAAGATGAACATTTTCTTTAATCTAGCTCTTCCTCCTTCCAGGTTGGAAAGACAGAGTACCTTCAATAAGTATGTCTCATGGGAAGCTGCTCCCATTTTGAAAATGGAACTGGGTCCACTTTGAAAACTTGGGAAACATCTGTCATTTTGCAATATTTTTTTACATCTGACATTCAAGATTTTGGGCTCTCTACAAATGTTTTTTTACATTAACTCCCTTACTTTTAGGTAAAAATAATTCATCAAATAAACCCGATACAGCAAGCACCCCAACAAACACAGTGGTGAACACAGCGGTGAACACAGCTGCAGGTGTTGAAGATCTTAACATCATTCAAGTAACTATACCAGGTGTGTATACCGGCTGATCTCACATCATACTTTGTGCATATATTCTTCATAACACTTGTTTAGTCTGATGGAGTTTTCCTACAGTCAAGCTGATTCGCTGAAATACAAATACAGTAAACAATGAGCACAACTTAGCATTCTGTTTTTACTAAGACATCTCTAGAATATTCTTGGTCCAGCCCCTAGTTAAGAAGTATCCACATTTTTCCCTTTTTTTTTTTAATGGCATAAAGTAAATATGGACTTGCAGTTTTCTGGCAACTTCAGGAGAGCTACTCAGACTGAACTGAGTAACCATCCAGACTCAACTGCTTTGTCTTAACACTGATTGCTGCTTTCTCAGGCATATTTCACTTTCAACGGTGAGAAACGTTGCATGTTGTGAGCATCTGCTGAATAGTCACTTTGCTTTACCTTTCCCCACCGTTATATGTATTCTAAGAAAATAAAATGTAATTTGTAGGTATAGATTACGTTTTCAAAATTATCTCTAGACAGCAAACCTACATTCATCTGTGGCAGTGTTTAAGGCCAGGTTGGATGCGGCTTGGAGCAACCTGGTGTAATGGAAGGTATCTCTGCCAGTGGCAGTGGAGTTTGGAACTGAATGAATTTTAAGGTCCCTTCCAACCCAAACCAGTCTGGGATTCTGTGATTTATTATCAGCCACCTATTTTTGTGTATTTCTACAATTCTGTGTTGCTGCTAAAGCTAGGGAAGAAGTCGGTGCCTGTTTTTGAAGCATTTGGGTAAATCTGCTTTGAGTAAACACACAATGGTACACAAGCTTCAGGGGAAGAATAAAATCTGCTTAATTCTGGTGCTATTCTAACAATTTCTTCCAGATGATGAAAATGAGCGACTGTCAAAAGTGGAAAGGGCCAGACAATTGAGAGAGCAAGTCGGTGATCTTTTTAGCCGGAAATTTGGTAATTGCTTCTTACTCCCCATTTTTACGTAGGTGTAAATGCAATGAATGTTTCTCATGTTGAAGTTACTGAATCATCCCAGTGGATGAAATAGCTGATCATTAAAATAAACAAATTTGAGAACTGTATATGAATGTTTTCCTTTGACTTCAAAAAGAACCTTTTATGAGTGAAGTAGCTTGTTTGGTGGTTTAAACAAGCAATCTTAAGAGTATGGATTTCGTTCTGTTCCTCCCCTCCTTTTCCTGCTTGTTTCTGTGTAAACATGGATGAAATATTATTTTGCTGGCAATCCATGAGTCATCTTAGTGCTTCATCATCCTGACCTCTTAATACTTGGGACTGGAATAATTTTAAATATGCAACATAATCTTTTTGCTGTGTATAGTTTTCGTATTTGCGTTGTAGAGGAATAGTGACCTGGATTTCTTCATCTGAAATTCCTTTGCTAATAGAGTTAAGTTGCTTTTGTGGCAGGAAACGCCTTGTTTTCCTTCATGTAGCTATTGCTTTGCATATCCTGTTCTATACCTTTTTTTAGTAAAAGAAGAATCTGTGTTCTTTCTAAGGTGAGCTTTCAGAGTTGGGTTGTAGCTAACACTCTCATGGTAATGTTCATGAGTGTAATTCGGGTGATTCACTGTCATGTGACCTCTCAGTTTCTGATCTGATAGAAGGCTTGGGTTTGCATTCAGGTCCTTAATTGTCTGAGGATTTTTCCTTCAATGTAATTATAAATACGTAGACTAGAAAATAAACATGATTTTCTCATGTAGGTGAAGCCATTGGTATGAATTTTCCTGTGAAAGTCCCATACAGAAAAATCACCACCAACCCTGGCTGTGTGGTGGTGAATGGGCTGCCTCCTGGTGTGGCATTTAGAGCTCCCAGTTACCTGGAGATCAGCTCCATGAGGAAGATTTTGGAATCCGCAGAGTTTATCAAATTTACTGTCGTTCGGTATGTAGTTGCTATCAGTGAGATTGTTCACATGTTGCAAGAACTGCCCAATTCAGTTAAGTAGATCTATTCAGTCTAGCTTGAATAAATTGAGATTTGAAAGAATAAAAGTTGTATCAGGTCAAACGAAGCCCAGGTGTTCATTGCGTGAATGAAGCTGGTAACTCTTTGAAGGACACTTCCAATTTAGTATGACAAAGGGCATGTTATTAATATTGCCTAGTACAGCAAACTGTCTTTTGAGTTGAAATCTATTCATATGATATATATGATAGGAGTCCTAAAGTGCTGTGGGCCTTGCTCTCCGATTTATCAGATCAAGTTTTGAGACAAGTCCAGAGCTTGTTGGCTCTTAACAGTAAATAGTATGTTTGTAGTAGTATTACCATTATTATTTTTTAAATATTTCAGATAAGAATCCTGAGTTAAAATAAGCCCTTTGATAAGGGCTTTTTTCCCTACCAAATGGGTTTATCTACAATATTTAAAAATACAGTATTACCCAATTACATGATAAATTAATTTTGTCTTTGTATATTTCCATAGACACGTATGCACGCGTATATATATGAAGTATATTTGTATGCATGAAGCAGAATAGATGAAACTTTGGCAGCATGCTAAGAAGGAGTTCAGGAATTGAAATGAAACATCAGTTTATGTAACTTCTCAAATCACAGACTGCTTCACAGGAGTCCAAAAGTTTCAGTTTCTGTGTAAAGAGATTGACATTTCTTCAGTGTATTTTACGAAGGGGTCTGAATTCTCAACCCTTGATCATGAAGCATTTCAATTGAAAGGACTCTTGCTTGATACCTTTTGTTTAATTGAGTTACATGCTGGTGAACAAGCCACAGTGCCCAAGAGCTGCTGAGATAGTTCCCTCTGGTTTGTTTGACTTCCTGTTCATTTTTAGCATGATCTGTTACCGAAGGCGAGGGTGCTTTGGCAGGGAGACCCCATGCAGTGTATTTTAGAGTCAGTAATATTTTTTTCATTATTTTTCCTTTTTTACAGACCATTTCCAGGACTTGTGATTAACAATCGTAAGTATTTGAGATGCTGATGGCAAATGTATTTTTGTAACTTACCCAGATTTGTTTTCTACGTCTTGGCTTGGTGGTTAAGTTCCGTGTATAGCTCTTGTCTGCGTCTGTCTCATTAAGCTTTCCTGACTAAACCTGCATGTGCAATTAACTTGAGAGCAGTGTGCTAAATTTACAGAACAGCATAATGTTCCGTATGCAGATGAAAATGCAAGACACTGATTTGTGTATTTTTCAGCTGCAGAGTCCCAAAGAGCTTTAGGACCCTGACTGAGCAACAGACTTACAGGGGACTTGCCTACATTTTAGGTTCAGATCCATCACAGTAGCAGTTAATAGGCGAGAACTTTCCAATAGCTGCACAACCATGTTCCAGTGAAAAACTCTGCATTGTGCTGAAACTGCAGCAGTTTAGAGGGGCAGAGTGGCAAATTTGGCCCTGTTAATGAAATTGTTTGGGGGCTTCAAATATAAAAAGGTTTTGGTATTTTCAAATATAAAAAGGTATTTTGGTATTTTGGTATATTTCAATTTGGTATTGCCTAAAATAATTGTGAACAGGCTTTCTAGATCTTTTCTAAGGAAAAAAAGCCAAGCTGCAAAGCACTGTTATTAGTGTCACGTTCTTGTGTCATGTTCTGTCTGAGCCAACGTCAGCTTTGAAATTCAAAGGCTAAATAACCTACTGTCATTAATTTGGCCTTACCCAGCCTGAGCCTTAGTGACCCGGCATTCAGTCATTTGCATTCAGCCACCAGTATATTCCAGTTAACGTGCTGAGGTCTATGAACTGCAAGTATGACGTGTTCTCAGGAGCTAGTAACTCACACCAGCCTGCTCGCCCATCCTAGGCATGCCTTCTTAGGGGGGAAAGAGGGAACCTTCCAGGCAGATTATTGTGTAATAGCATTTCCAGAAAACTGAACTGGAAAGAATCTATTAAACTGTTCAGCATAACTGTCAGCTTGTTTTGGGACTGAAGTAGCTAATACTCTGAGTAAGAGCAACATAGATAACTGATCACCTACCATCACTGGAGAAGCAGGTTGGTCATTGAAGACACGGGTTTGTGCATCATCCATGTTCATGAATGATGATCAAAATGAACTGATATTGATAGACGCCAAGGTGAATGATTGAAAGGCTCTGAGCCTACTGCTTATAGGTATGATGCTTTTATCTTCTGAAGAAGAACATGTGGGAACTTCAAAGAAATTTTTGGTGCTTGCAGGCAAGATAGGGAATGGCTTTTGTGTAACAAAAACTATTGACCTGCAGCTCAATCACAAGTGTTAGCAACCTGTTCATGCAACAAGTTTCAGGATTTGCATATTCAAGAAATAAGACTGTCCTTGTGCTACATGTGGCCCATTTTCATTGTGAAGTTAAACAGTGGTTATGTCTAATCTTAGAGCTGATGGAAAAAGCTGAAGCAGAAGCACCACCAACAGCACCAACAACGGCACCAGCAGCACCAGTACTACCAGGTGATGCAGAGTGTGATGCATGTCCTGGCAGGAGGGGTAGGCTATAGAGTTCTGGATCTTATTGGCAGATGACATTAGTAGTCATGTCCTGGCTATGCGCTGCTTGTGATGAGACATTTCATTTTGACAGATGGTGTGCAATGGTGACTTTTATAGCTATTAAATATTAATAACTTAATAGAAAAAGCTGTTGCTTCCTTCAGGCTGTATCATTGGCGTGTTCCTTAATTTGATTTTGCAGATGATGAGTGAGCTGAAAAGGATGAGTATGGGCAATTTATAAAGCCAATTCAGTATCCATTTATTGAGGTCTGCTTAACTCAAAGTGTGTTTATGTGTCTGCACTAGATGGTTGCTCACCCAAGTGAGGTTTGCTCATGTAACATAAGTACCTCAAACTGGGTCGTGATGGCACTTGTGCTCACTGTGCAGTTCTGTGACCCCTGTTAGGCTGTGTCTCGACTGCACACGCATCATCTCTCCTAGTGTGGATGGAGAACTCAGCTTTGTGCTGTGAATAGCTAGAGTAAATGTGATTGAGCAACTTCCTGTTGACCCTGTATAGTTTCTAAATGTTCACAGACCTTTCAAAAATATCTATTGCAAATTGCTGTAGTGCAGGAAAGGCTTTTGCAATTGAGTGAATAAAGTGTTACTCAAAGAAAATGGGAACCTGAAAGCAAGCATTCAATAAGCATTTTAAGAGTATGGGACACTTGTATGGTGAAAAGAATTATAAAGGAAATTGCTAGCTCCCTTCTTTACATTTGGAGGTAATGGAAGGGATGAAAACAGCTGCTTATGGTCAGTGGACTTGCTGTAGTCTATCTGTCCTTAACACACCCACAGTGATTAAAAAGGTTAAATGGCTTTCCCATCACCTGCTCATCTATAACCCATCAACACAGATAATGGAAAAATCATTATGAAATTAAAACACATTTATCTCAAAGATGTTTAAGTCAGATCATAACAGAAAGAAATGAGGCACCTTCTTCAGGGAAAACCTAATTTCTAAGATATTTGATTCATGTTGTTTAAACTATATTTGTATTCATTTGACTGTATTTTCTCTTTTTCATTTAAGAGCCAGCTGACCCAAGCCAAATGGAAGTGTCTGTAAGAGGTAAGTGTTTGTCTTCAGCTATTGACAAATATGTCAGGTGATCTTGAACAAAGGTGTGTATTTTTCTTTAAAGGAGCCAGGTCAACAGAAACAGGACTTTTATTGGTTCCTAGGACATTTTTTCATCCGATTTAATATCCTGCTGCATCCTGTGAAAACTACTGCAGTAGAAGTTATTATTCACATAGTTTTATAGAGGAGTTTTAAGAATTGTTGTTCTCTTTTGGTGCGTCATGACTATATATAAGCTTTGATGGATTGTTCATATCCTGAGCATTGCATCTAGTTATTCAGCACAGTAGTTTCCACAATTTGTGTAAGTGAATGATTACCATCATCAGGAACTTTGAATGTCATGTTGGCCTGAATATACTGCGTTGGGGAGGGGGACTGTTGTTTTTCTTCTGGAGCTTAACCTCTGAAAAAATCCAACAAGCACAACCAGAATTACTGTTGCACACTCAGCTCCAGGTTCACTCCGAGTGTTGTGAGTACATCTTTCTCAGAGTGTGGATCAATTTTACTGCAGCAGTCGAGGCAAAAAGTTGGAGTCACGAAAGAGCTGAGCTGCAGATTTTAACCTCACAGTTGGAACATCAGAAGTCTTTATAATGCCAAAACTGTGTGGGATCATTGAAATTGTTAGATGAAGGGAATACCCAGAATACCTTCATGTGGAGGAAATCTAGCTATGGACCATCAAAGTGACGGTTTTGGAGAAACAGAAAAGCAGGTTTTGAGTTTCTCATCCAAAACTGGATTCAGACCCAGTAACTAGAGGAATGAGCTTGAGAAAAAGCGTCCACTTGCTAAAGAACTCAAAATCACTTCAGAACTAGGCTGGAAGGTATAAAATGATCATGTGGTGGAATGGCTTGGCTTTGTAGTGATGAATTACCCTAGCCCCAAACCTTCCAAACAACTTCAGTTGAAAACCAATTTCCTTCCAACATCGTACTCTCTGTTTATAAAAAGAACAAAATCAGGCCCCAGGTTGTATAGACACTGCTGTACCAGCACAAGATTTCTTTGATTTACCTCCAAGCATCCTGTGAACAAGAAAAAGCAAAGATTTTGTAATGAAGCCTTGTGGAAATGAAAAAAAAAATATCAAAAGATGATGAATGCTTTAGCCAACAAGATAAAGTTTCCTTCCCTCTTTGTTTTTTTTAAACATACCATAATGCAATATGTGATAGCATGCAGTGAAGAAGAAAAAGTAGCTAACGTCAAAAAATTGCTTTGGACAGATTGAAATACAGTAATGCAAAATCTGTGTCTAGTTGAGAAGGAGTCCTACAGATGAAAAAGAAATCTGGGAAATAGTGCTGTAAGAACAGGAGTTAGTGCTGGGAATGTTAATGTAATAACCCAAAAGGCATGACTTGAGCTCAAGTAGGAGCCGATGTTGTGAGCTAGCTCTGGAAGACAGCATCTTAAATAACATGAAATGGTGCTCTTGCCTGATGTATTTGAAGTAACGGGCTACAGACTCACCTGTGAGTGTTTGTAAAGCTTCACCCAGCATCACATATACAATGAGTTGTTGGAAGGAAAGAAGGAAGGAATGATGGTGGGGATTGACAGACAGGAGGGAGAAGGACTGAAGAGCAGGATGCAGACCAAACCAGTGCTACGACTTTTTTCCTCACAGTCCTTTTATCAAGTACTTTTCCAGTTTCATACACTTCTAACGCTGGTTTTAATTTTAGCTCTTTAAAAACGAGAGTTATCTAAGATCCCAGGCTGCTTTACATTGAAATGAATGTCGTAATTTCTGCAGAATCAGACTGTTGTGAATACATTTTCATTTATCCTCAGTAGTTTAAAAGGATAAATCAATGCTTTTCATACTTTTCATGGTTTTTTTTTTTTTTTACTTAAGTACAACAGTAACAATGGAATTGGTTGGGAAGTTTCCTTTTTTCTTTATTCATTACTGCTTTTTTCAACAGAAATTACAGAAACAGAAGAAAATCCTCAAATAAAGCAAGAGCCAGACCCAACGTGGTAGACCTCATCAGTGCTGGGTAAGAGAATTTAGTCTATCTTGAAGTCAATACCTTTTAAGGTAGGATGTTTTTTGTCATTTGGGGTATCAGAAGAGGTCTGAGATACAGGACTGAATGCCAAAAGGTACCAATTCTTATAAATTATGTCATTTGTCTCAGTTCTCAGCTATAAAATGGAGGATGTTTTCAGTACCTTACCCAAATGCCATGTAAAACACACTGCTCAGATTTGGGAGGCAGGCAGCCCTGGCAAAATGTGGCCTATAAGGAAAAATGGGTGATGGTAATTACATTGCTCAGAGGCAGAATAAATGAAGGCTTAGGGAATTAGTGTTTATGAAGAGCTCTGACACAGTTATGTGAAAGAGCAGCATTATTGTTGGTATTTCCAATGTATTTCCAAACCGTAACTGAGCAGGAAAGAGAAAAACTGCACTCTAATTGCAGTGTTGTCTAAGCTTGGGACACTTGGTAAGGCTATTAGCTGTGGTGACAAACCAGCTTCTTTAAAAGGTTTTTTTTTCTTTTCCATTAACTTTTATGAAAAGCTTAGTTTAATTTACAATGCAGAAATGTCCAAAATTTTTTGTTACACTATTTTAAACTCCACATATTCCTAAAACTGACATTTTGATGGAGGTGGAAAGCAGTACTAGCAATGCTGACGTGTCACCAGATGTAAAAGGCTGACCCACATGGTTGTGAGTCTGCTTCATTCAGAGAAAATGCCAGTTTTTAGCTACCGCAGCTCTGTCATGCTTTCTCCTGTTTCAGTTTTTAGATAATATTCCAAACCATGTATTTTCCTCATTGTGTAGTGTTTGATACTTCACTAATTTGATGTGATTGGTACCAAGTTGGCAGCATTTCTTTAGTACACTTGAGCTGTAAACACTCCAGTTTAGTAAGAAAAGGACATGGTATTTGTCTTGGAGGTCTGGGAACTGTAACAGTTCTGAGGGCACAGACAGCCCACCCACAAAACCAGGCTCTGGGTCTTTATCACTCTCAGCTGCTCAGGCCAGCAGAAATAATGTGGTTTGCCCTTCACATGAGGCTGTGGGTAGGGGAGCTGGAGCCTGCAGATTCAACTCCTGGAACCATGCAAGTTTTGAAGACTAGGACACTCTTGGCCATGGCCCTTTGTCCATGCAGGAGATGGGATAAGTGGCTGAAGAGACAAACCCAGACATGATTTGGTAGAAACTTGCAGAGGCTGAAACAGCTGCACCACTGAGAACTGGATGTAAAGCAATGGTGAAGAGGTGAATTCTGCTTTGGAAATATTCATCACAAAATTGAACAGGGCGGGAGAGAATACACTAAAGAAAAGCTTGTGATCTGTGGTGGGAAGCACTTCAGCCAGTGGAGGTATAGAATCCCATCTCACTTGGCCATTAAAAGTCATGGAAATTATGTCTGTGCAATGGCTGCACAGTTTGGTGCTGCAGTGGTTTAGATATTTGGATGCTTTAGGCCATCCACTGAACTTAAACTAAAGCAAGTACTTGATCTAAATACTTACAGAGACCACTCAAGCACATATTTAATCTCACATTTGTTGAGAGCCATATTCAGCTTCTGCATGCTTCCTGAATCCAGGCCTAAAGAACTCCAAAGACAATGCCAGCTACTTATATCTGTAATAAGATCCAGAGCTGCATTAAACTAACTGACTTTTGTAATTTGTCTTATCTAATCAGAAGATCCAGTTCTGAGAAGAGCCTGCTGGGAATGTCTGGAGCTGTGTAATGGAGCTGTGTAATATAACTGTATAAGAGAAGTACCTTCTATACAAACCCTTTTTATATTTTTAGATAGAAATGTCTACTTTTTCAGCAGATCTGTGAATTGACTTAAATGAAAGAATGACTGTAGATTTGGAATGGCTAGGTTTAATTTGGAATATATTATAAGGACTAAATTTGATGCAGCAATTCTGGGGAGAGGACAAGGATTAAAATCAACAGGGACTTAACAGCGACTGTCTGTGTTTCCCAGTAAAGCTGAATTTCACCTCACCTAATGCATCATAGCTTTTGTAATGCAGAAAAATTCCTGCAAGTAGTTCAGTTTGTTAGTTTTACTTTGGAAAAAAAACCCACAAACATTACTTTTTGGTTCTGACTGCTTTAATGGCTGATTGAACAATACTATCTGTATATTTGAACAGATTTTTCCTAGGATACCTGTTGCAATTCATATGATTTTCATAAATAAAAGATCAACTGGTTCACTTGACCTTTAGCACGCAGTAATGAGATGGACGGTGAAATGGTCACTATTTCAGTGTGTGGATTAGGAACCCATTTAACTTAAACCGTGTTAGAGATTGTTCCATTAACTCGAAGTAGTAAATGCATGTTTTCTCAGGATATCACATGGTTTCTATGATGGGTCTGATCTCGCAGCCCTAATGTAGGCAAAGTCCATGTGGACCCGTGTGAGAGCGTTTCTCATGAAGGCTCTGCAGATGCCCTTCTGATCTCTAGAACTAGTTATAGAAACGTGTGCGCCAAGCTTCTGTAAGTCCCACTCTGCCAAAAGTTAAGAGCCTCGTAGTCCCAGTGACTCCCATATGGTGTAAGAGACTCATGTACACATTTAAGTTTCACAAACTGTAAGAGATGTCAAGTTCTGCTTGTATGATAATCTCCATAGCAGAAGATGCAGATTATTGTAAAGGTTTCTTGTTCTGGTTTGGTTGTGGTTTTTTATTGGCATGAGTTTGGGATGACTGCATTATGCACAAATGGTAAATCTTATGCCCTGACTAAGAAATAAAGACCTTTCTGATGGTTTTGATGACTGTCCATGCAGAATACATTTACAATTTCACAACAAACTCTAGCAGTGATTCTGCAGGCAAGCAGAACATGCTGCGGCAGTTATTGATGCCCACGAAGGAGGTTCCAGTCATGTCTTTCAAACACAAATACACCACTGGGTAGGTGAGGTCCTTCTATCTGCAAAAAAACACACCTTGAAGCCTTAAAGTGAGTTGGGTACAAAGTCTGTTTATTTTAAATGAGGGACATTAAAAACAACAGTACAACTACTGCGGTAGAACAAAATTTTATAACAAGAATAATAGACCAACAGTATAACAACAATAACCTCCAACAGAACAACAATAAACAGCAAGAAACAACAACAGAACAACTGTAAAACAGCAAAACTAGACCAACTTCAGAACAATAAACTCTTAAATAAACATCAGAAAAAACAGAACAGGTTTAGTCACATCCATGAACATTTTAGAAGGCAGAAGATGCTCTAACAGCTTAAATATGAAAATAAAGTGTTATTTCATTAAAGAACATTTCAATAGCTGTAAATGTTTCCCCCTTTCAGACTGCACCCAACACTCACAATCACAAAGCTCAGGGAGTAAAAGACCTGGCAGCGAAGCCCTCCTGGGGGTGGTGGAGACCCTATGGGCCGTTCTTGGGTGACCCCTGGCTCCAGCAGCCTCTGCCCCGCTCCCACTGAACAGCACCAGGGCAGAGAGCACCGCAGCTCCTGGGAGCTGGTAAATCCCAAATGGGTGGGGATGAGCCACAAGTGAGAAACAATTTGGATTTGGTGATGGGGAGGACCCCATCCCCTCTGGACTCCCCCAGTGGCTCCAGAGCACCCTGACAGGGGGAGGGGGCACCAGCAGAGAGGGGATGAGAAGGGAGGGCAGAGACTGCCAGGGCTGCATCAGAAGTTTGCACCTTAGGGCACGCGGCAAAATAAAGCCAGGATGGAAACGCTGCACAGACACCCAGAGGTTCATCAGCCTCGGCTGGGGGACTCTTCCAGCAGGAAGAGTTCCCCCTGTCCCACCCCAGGCGCTGACACCCAGCGCGGCTTCTTGCCGGCAGCAGAAACGAGGCCTTGCCCCACCACTCCGGTCCCGCCTCGGGGCTGCTCTGGACCGGACCTCGGGGCTGCTCTGGACCGGAGCCCCTGCGGGTGAGGCCAGCAGCAGTGGCCATTACTGATTGCAGAAATGATGGCTCCGTGCCTCGTGCCGCTTGCAGGCTCTGTCCCTGGATCTTGACCGGCTGGAAGAGGCAGAGCTGGACGAACCTGGAAGCACAAATGTTGCTCAGGTCTCTGCAGCCGCACCCTGAGCTGGCACCGGGGTTACCACCATCCCTGTTCCTGGGGGAATGGCAGGTTTTGCATCCCTGGAGCCCTACCCCAGTAGCTACCACCCGAGCCGGCTCCCACAGCACAGCCTGGCCCTTCCGCCATCCCCCAACCCAAGGGGACAATGCAACGCACCAGCTCCTCAAGCCTGAAGCACCAACTCCGTCCTTACCGGAGGAAGCGGCGTCTCCTGCAAGGCCTGAGGGGCGCTGGCCCCAGAAGGGCGCAGGAGTCCCTGGAAAGCAGCACACCTCTGTGAGCCGGGGTCGGCAGAGGAGGCAGAGCCCGGCTGCAGGGAGCTGGCAGCACCCGCAGGAGCCGACGCATCCAGTGCATCGAGAGGGGGCAAGGAGCGGCGTTTCAGATTCCCCTGCACCCCCCAGGGCTGGGGACTGGGGCAGCGAGTGAGGGAAGCACCTTCCCTTTGCACGGCAAAGCTCAGCCAGGTCCGGCAGCAAAGCCGCTGCCTAAACAAAGCCCTGCCCTTCACCTCCTGCAGAAGCCCCGGCCCCTCCAACTCACCTGGCAACACGGGCGCGCTCCCGCTCCTGGGCTGGGTGACCGATGCTGTGGTCATGGACGCTGCCCGTGTGCGCCCGGTGCCTGAGGAGCCCTGGTGATGGCTGCTGGGAGGGACTGTACCAGTCTCTAAGAGCATCAGAGCCCAGGCCCCGGCAGCACTGGTCCAGGAGCTTCCTCAGCCTGTGCTACACAGGCACCCGCTGCCCTGCCAGGCCAGGCCAGGCCGTGGCTTTCTCCTCCTTGCCGTGCCCTTCGCGTTCCCAGTCTGCCCTTACCAGCCTTAGGTCCCAAGAGCCATTGAGGGTGCTGCCATGCTGCCTCCCTCTCCCTCTCTAGGATCTCCTCCACAATGGGGTACTCGAGATTCAGCTCAGGGAACTGCCAAGAGAGAGCAGTAGCTTAGTTCCTTCTGAGGGCAGCCGGCAGAGCCGCTCTGAAGGAGGTGTGCAAGCAGGCCTGTGCCAGACCCATGAAGCCGTGGTTCTGCCACAGCCACCGCAGAGCTCCGGTCCCCATTCGTTTTGGCCCCGGCTTGGCTCCGAGGGCACGGCAGCCTTGCCCAGGCCACTACCTGCTCCAGCAGCGGGCAGCAGTCACGCACAGCCACCACGTACCGGGGCAGGGGAGAGCCTCACGTCCCACCCAGCCAAGGCCGAGACCTCCTGCCCCGAGGCAGGCAGGTCAGCCTGCCCCCCGCCCTGCAGGAGTTGCACTGAGCACGTTCTACCCCAGAGGAGGGCAAAAGAGGCTGCGAGACAGCGCCAGTGGGTGGGTCTTGCCAGGCACCAGCAGGCAGATGCTCCTCCTGCATGGCCTTCCTTTCCCCCCTGAAGGTGGTGGGCTCGGGGACTTCTCAGGCCTCTCGACAGCTACAGGAGGAGACAAGTCAGGAGCAGCTCCCAGCAGAGGCTTTGGCCTGCACCAAGGGGTTGTCCCTTCTCACTCCTCTCTGGATGCCCATCCCGGAGGGCAGAGGCAGGGACAGGGCCTTAAGCCGAGGACAAGGCTGCGATGCCCTGGGGCAGCAGCTTGGCCCCAGGAGATCCATGGGGAAGCTGTCACAAGAGCCCGCTGGGGCTCCACGGGCCAGCGGCCCCTTCCCACCACCACGGACGCTCCTTGCACGCTGCCCACCCGAACCACAAACCACACAGGGTGCCGCACGTGGCCGCATCTCGCGCTGTGCCACGGGACCCTCTCCGCCGTGGGCACACGGCGTTTCCTCTCCTCTCTTTCAGCTGAGGAAGTGTTGGCATGAGCTCCGCCTGGCATCGGAGCAGGCCCGCACCGGTGGCCCATCCAATCCGGCACAGAGCTGGGCCCCACCTACACTCACCTTCCTCGGTCTGCACGGCCTTGTTCGCTGTCCCCGGGGTGCTCTCTCGCCATCGCCGCGATTCCCGTTCCCCGTGCGAGTGGGAGAGAGCCAGTTAGGGTCAGCACCAGGCTGGGACAGGACATGCCAGTGCCACATGGCAGCGTCACCGCTGCAGCCGTCTGAGCCCTTCAAGCTCCAACCCGGCCTGGGGCAGGGCGGGGATGGTGCCGGTCAGTGCTGCCGTCAGCACTGCAGTGGAACAAGGCAGTGGGGATGCTGATGGACACAACAAGGGGGCTTCCCCACCGCTGGGTGACCCAGCAGCCATGACTCACGGGCCTGGAATAGCCCAGCTCCGGCGGAGAGCAGGCCTTGGGCACCGGGTCAGCTGGGAAGGTGACTGCTTTCTTCCTGGCTGGCACTGACAAGCGGGCACTGGCTGAGTGAGCAGTACGTTACCTTCCTGTCCAACGTGGCGCCTCACCGGAGGATCCTGCGCGGGACTCCAGGGGCTCCCTCACGCACATCCTCTTCTATTGGAATGTGGAGACCAGGAGGAACTAATTTGGTTCAGGGGAGCACAGCCTCCCTTTCTCCGGCTCACCGCAGAGTAAATCCCATTCCCCAGGTGCTGGCTGCCAAGCCCGGAGCCTCTCTTACTTCAACGCTGCTCAGCTCCCCTCAGCCATGTCCATGGAGGGCAAAGTCTGAGCACCCCAAACTGAATTCACTCTGGGAGCAAGCGGCCTCCAGGCTCTGAGGCGAGTGACCTCGGAGCAAACCCTTCCCTACTCACCCACCCTGGGTAAAACCTTTCCCTGCACAGCTGCAGAGCTCCATCAGCCACGACTACATCCCACTCTCACATCTGCAAGCATAGCCCAGGATGTGAGCAGTGTTTTAGTACAGCTCAGCAGGTGCTGAGGAGACCCGTGTCAAAGTGGCAACACCGGGCTCCCAGGCATGCTGCTGCCTCCAGCCGAAAAGGTGCCAGCACAGCAAAGAGATTTTGTCCTTTCCGTTCCCCTGGATGTGTCCCCCCTGCAGACTCCCAGGGCAGAGCGGGGACAGGAAAAGAGCTCCGTGCTGGGCCGTGGGCTGCGGAGCGGTGCTGGGCGTTGGGCCCATGGGGAGCCCCTGGGCACCTGACTGTCCCAGCGTACCGGCAGCAAAGCGGCCTCAGGGCTCTGGTCCTGCGGCTGCGGGTCCTGGTGGCGCACGGTCTGCGGTGGAGCTGTGCTGGGGCACAATGGTCACAGCACTGTTAGTGGCAGGAAGATCCCATCCCATCCTCCCCCCAAGCTCACCAGAGGCCGTAGTGGCAGGATGGGTGCTCTCAGCATGGATGGTGCCTGCGGTTGGGCCACTGTAGGCGCTATTTTGCCGTGCAGGTGACACGAAGACAGGAGCGATGCGGGCTGGCAGGGTCGCATCGCACACCAGGACCCCTGCTCCCAGCAGCGATCCCCGCAGCACCACGCAGTGCAGCGCCAAGGCCAGCAGTATGGGCCCGGCACCGCCATTGCTAGGCCACCCGTGTCCTTCTCTCACCCTTGCCCTCTGACACCCTCAGCCCTGACAACCTATGTCCCTGTGCCACCTGCCTCTGTCTCCAACCCGTGTCCCTCTGCCGCCTTCACCCCTGACAACCAGGGTCCCTGTGCCCCCGTGCCCCTGACAAGGAGTGTCCTACTGCCACCCGTGTCCTCATCCCACCTGCTTCCCTGGGCCACCCGTGTCCTTATCCCACCCCCATCCTACTCCCTCGCTCACCCCAGGCAGTTGCTGTGGGTCGGGGTGCTCCCACCGCGGCCGATCACAGTGGCCGGTCCGCTGTTAATGGCCGTATTCGCCCGCAGGCGCCAGACCACCTGATCCCCCGGGGCTGGAACTGGGGCGATCAGGCTGGGGCTGGGGCTGTACGGTGCTGCCGCGGTGGTGGAGAGCGCTTGGGGGGCAGCCACCGCGGTGGGGAGCGCAGGGGCAGAAGGCGCCTGGCGGGCGGGCGGGACCGCAGCGCCCAGCGCCGCTCCCAGCAGCGATCCCTGCAGCAGGCTGGTGACCGTCACCAACAGCGCCAAGGGCAGCGCCACGGACCCGGCAGCGCCATCGCTCTCGGTCTCTGGAGCAACGGCCACCGGCCCGGAACGCGCTGCGGGACCTCGACAGTCGCCGCGTTCTAGAGCTCGTGGCCCTGTTCCGCTGGCCCTCCCTTCCAGCCGCCTTCTACTGACGGCCCTGTGCCACCCGTGCCCCTGACAGCCAGCCTCCCTGTGCCGCCCCTGTCCTGAGCCCACCCTCGCCTATGTGCCTGCAGCTTCCAGAGCCCTGCTGTGTCCTGCCGGGATGTGCAGGGTGGCCCCGTGCACCCAGCGCTGCAATAAAGAACGCCCGCTTGCTAAAACTCCACGTCGAGTCTTACAGAGTTCTTTCAGCCGCACTTTCGGTCACAGCACGCCAGTTGTGCTGCTGCTGCGGACAAGGGCTGCTGCCCAGGGCTGAACCGGTGGAGCCGGGGAGCTGTCTTGGCACACGTCGCTGCCAGGGCAGGGCAGGGGCACCAAACTCCCCAGGAGGGAGCAGGGGCACACAGGGAATGCCCACGGGAAATAACAAACCGAATGTAAATGACCAGGTTTCTGATCTCAGCAGCTGCCAAGCGCCGCTCCTGAGGTGCAGGGGAAATCCGTGCTCAGAACTGCCCTGGGGTTTAATGCAGGCAGAGCAAACTTTGGTCTTTACAGCTGATAAGGGCATCGCGGGCTTCTCCTGAGCTCCCCGGGGACAGCCCAGCACTGGCACCCGTTGTAATTTAGGATGCCCTTGCTGGAGACAAGTTGTGTTGTATTGAGAACGTGCAGCCCTCACGTCCCTTCAGGTCTTTCTGTTGAGAGCTGGGGGCAGAGGATGCTGCTGCTGGTGTGCTGCCGTTTCAGAGGGGCTTTGCAAGGGTCCCTCATGCTCTCCTGATGGGAGGCAGGGCTCCATCTCCAGCCCAGCGGTTTCCCCGTTCCCCATGGCCAGTGGTGCCATGCAGTGGGCACAGCTGTAGCACTGGGGCTGGCTGAGGTCCTCGAGAGGGCTGCTCAAGGGAGCCTTTTGGGGGCAGAGTCTGGGGGAGCTGCAGGTGACTGAAAGGAGCACCACAGGTGCTTTGTTCAGCCCATCCACCTCCGCTCGAGCGCGTAGACTCCTCTGGTTGCTGTTGCCAAGGCATTTGTCTGTCCTTGACCCTCTGCAAACCGGGTGCTGCAGCACCATGGGAAGCATCTGCAGTCAGAGGGGGACACTTTGTGATGGGGCAGCCGACCTTGCCCTGGTTCTTCACTGTCCTCTCATCTCAGAGGTGCCTCCAGAGCATCCCCAAGGGCTCCCTGCTGCCTGCCTCTGGGCTGGGCTGGGCTGGAGACTCCCCACGGGAAACCCTGACTCAATACAAACCACAGCGTGTCCATCTGATAGCCACTGGAAGGTCTCCAGCTCTCAAGCCTCAGGTCCTGCATTCAGAAGCCAAAACACAAATCAGCTCTCGAACTCCATATTGACAGTAAAAAAATACTAAAATGATAGCAAAGTTCGGATAAAAACACTAGTTTACTATTGTTATAACAACAACACAACAGTGTAACAACAAAAATACTACAATAAAACAACAAAACTACAGTGTAAGAACAAAACAACAGTACAGCAAGAATATTAGAACAAGTGCAGAACGAATGCAGAACAATAAAAATTTTCAACAAATATCATAGCCGCTGACGTTTTGCCCCGGTGGTGCAAAAGGCCACTTGGCATCTCTGCTGTCGTCCTCCTGGGGGAAGAACAGAAAACCAAACAGAACAGGTTTAGTCACAGCCGTGTACATCGCAATTTAGAAGGAAGGAGATGCTGTAACGGCTCAAATATAAAACCAAAGTGTGATTTCATTAAGGAACGTTTCAATGTTTGTGTTTTTTTCAGTAATCCAGACTGCACCCAACACCCACAATCACAGGGCTCAGAGTAAAAGAGCTGGCAGCGAAGCCCTCCTGGGGGTGGTGGGGACCCCACGGGCGGGGGGGGGCAACTCTGGGGTGACCTCTGGCTCCAGCTGCCTCTGCCCCTCTCCCAGTGAACGGCACCAGGGGAGAGAGCACCGCAGCTCCTGGGTGCTGGTAAAGCCCCCTTGCTAAAACACCACATCGGGTCTTACCGAGTTCTTTTAGCCGGAGTTTTGGTCACAGCGCAACAGTTGGCAGCAAGGAGGAGCAAGCGATGCTGCTCAGGGCTGAAGCGGTGGAGCCCGGGAGCTGTTGAGACACACGCATCACGGCCATAGCAGGTCAGGGGCACCGCACAGCCCCGGGGGGCTGCCGCTGGCAGGCTCCACGCGGGCCCTAGCATCTTCCCTCTCCTCCCGGCCGGGGCCCATACAAGCTTCCCGAGTCCACAGCCGCTCTCACACGGGACTGCCCCCGCCACAGCCGTGTCCCCACTCCGGTCCCTCTACGAGCCTCCCCCTGTATATCAGCCCCGCGCCCTGCCCGGCAGTGCCTGCCGTCGGTCACGCTGAGCTGAGCCACCCCAGGACTTCATCGCGGTAGCGCCGATCTCGAAGAGGTGCCCCCGCGCTGCACCCGCACCACGGCCCCGTCACAGGCGGATCCCGGGCGGGCGGGTGCCCTCGGGGGTGCCGGAGCGGAGGGAGGCGGTGTCCGTGCGACGGCCGGGCGGTGCCCGGGAGGGAGCGGGGAAGGGAGTGTTAGCAGTTAGCGCTGCGACTGCAGCCGGAGTTCTGCTTTCGCGGGGGCTTTAACGGCGGAGCGGAGCTGGGCGAAGGCAGACGGGAGGAGAGGACGGCCGGGGAGGCACGAGCAGGGCGGGCGGAGCGGGACGTCGCGGCTCGGAGCTGCCATGGGGGATGCCTTCATCCGGCACATCGAGCTGCTGGGCTACGAGAAAAGGTTCTTCCCCAGCCAGCATTATGTGAGTATGCGACGACCTTCTGACAAGCTGAGTAGTGAGGACTGGATGTGTAAATAGAGTCTGGACAGCAAACCTCTTTAGATAAACATGACCAAAGGCCTAAAAGCAGCCTTTGTTTTCTTTTTTCTTTTTTTTTTTTTGGGCGGGGGGGTGTTGGATCATGGCTGATGGTGTGAGCTGGATGGAGGCAAAGGCTAAAATGTCTTTAACACACAAGTTTTGAGGCACCTCCTTTTCAATCCATTGGTTACTTTGCAGGCTTGGAAAGGGCTTTACCCTCTTTGATTCCCACTTGTCTGCATGTTTCAGCCCCCCTTTTTGTCCCTGCTGAACTTCCCTAGTGCCCAGCTCACTGGCTACCTGGGCAGAGCTACTCGTACTGGGGCGGTGGGAGAAAAACAGTTTATTTGAAATGGAAGCACCCATAGGGCTTCAGCCTGCAGAGCTGCAGCTTCTATGCTTTGCCCCTCAGGTCTACATATTCCTGGTGAAGTGGAACGACCTCTCTGAAAAGCTTGTCTACCGCAGGTTTACTGAGATATACGAGTTCCACGTAAGTTGTCCCAAGGTGGGCCCCAGCCCTCGGTCCAGAGCTCCAAGGCTCAGGCTGTGGAAAAAGAGAGTGAATTCAAGTTGAAATTGCCCCAAACTAAACCTGGCTTGGAAGAAGCACATAGGTGCTAGTGCTTCAATGTCCTTTGCTCCTAGTAAGGAGGAGCCATCATCTCTGTGCTCCCCAGGAAAATTTCTCCCAATGTCCTGGGTCCAGCCAGCACGTTCTGGTAGCAGGGGGGTGAGCATGAGGAAGGGGTTGTTCCAGAAGGGTCTCCTGGTGCCACCCTCACAGGCGTACCTGGGTCTGCTCCACAGAAAGCACTGAAGGAGATGTTCCCTATTGAATCCGGGGACATCAATACGGAGAAACGGATCATCCCGCACTTGCCAGGTGAGGGACAGGCGCTGAGGCTGGGGGTGGAACAGAAATTGCAGTTGACTGGGAAATTCCCCAGTGGGCCGAGCTCTGCTGGCTCCCTCCAGTGCAGGTGCTTGGTACCATTTGTGTTCCTGCCCACTGGGCTTGAAAGAAACCAAAGCCCCAGAAAGGTCTGAGCAGCAGCAACAGCAGTTTAACCCGAGACTTACCAGCCCTGCAGATCCTGTCCTTCCTCCCCAGTGGCTGGGCACCCTGGAGGCACATCCACAGCACTGGCTGTGGGAGCCTCCTTGATGATGCAAAGGGTTTGGCTTTGGCGAGCCTGAGCTGAGCACTGCTTCAGTGACACTATCAGTGGATTTGGTTTTAGTGCCCTTATGGCAACACATATGTTGTAAGAGGAAGCAATGCAATATGTCTTTGATGACAGGAAATGAACTGATGAAAAGAGCTGATGGTTTGTCCCCAGGCAAGGTACAGGTCAGCAAAATTCCCCCTTTATTTAATTTCCTCCTTAAAAAGGAAGCAGGGAGGATCATGAGAATAGCTGCTTCTCCCCAGGTTTTTGGGCACTGGGCATGTCTCCCTTGTGCTTGCCAAGGCTGGAGCAGCAAAGGAGGAGATGGAGCCATGCTCCTACAGAGCTTCACCTTATGGGCACCATGCAGCCATGCAGTACCCTTGGGGCCAAATCCACTTGTTTTCAGGGCTAAATTAATGACTCAGAGAAGCCTGCTTGAGCAAGTAATCAAAACAGGGCACTCTGTCTGATTTTTCTGAGTCTTTTTCCCTCTCCCCCAGCCCCAAAGTGGTTTGATGGCCAGCGCTCTACCCAGAACAGGCAGGGCACGCTGGCCGAGTACTGCTACGCGCTGGTCAACCTGCCTCACAAGATCTCCCGCTGCCTGCACGTGGTCAACTTCTTCAAGGTCCGTCATGATGACATGAACCCTGTCACAGACAGCCAGTGAGTCCAGCTGCCTGCCATCTGGGGGGAAAATCCTGTGTTCCCAGCCTATTGCCAGCAGTGAGGGGTGGTTGGCACTGAGCTGCCTTTGCTCTGACCCATCTAGGATCAGGAAGCCTGAGGTCTTCCTCCTGCCGAAGGATGCCAAGAAAAACTCCACAGGTAAGAGGCCTCGGAGGGGTGCAAGCGGCTGTCTCAGCAGCAACAAAGCCTGGCAGGGAGACGGGCAGCCATCCATGGCTCTGGCCAAGAACACGGTCTCTGCGCCAGAGCTGAAACCACAGCCGCAAGGGAAGTCCCTGTCCTGGGATTCAGTTGGTTTAGGACCAGAAGAGGCTGGGAGAGCACTTTGGGCCACCCTGGGGCTGCTTTTGGCATGCTCAAAGTGGGGAACATTTCTCACTTCTCCCATACAGACATCACGGGCCCCATTGTCCTGCAGACGTACCGAGCTATTGCTGACTATGAGAAAAGCTCTAAAACTGAGATGGCTCTAGAAGCTGGGGACATGGTGGATGTCGTGGAGAAGAGCGAGAGCGGTATGTGTCCATCCCTCCAGAGACCCCTGAGCGCCAGGCGCATCCTGGCCACTGTTTCAGCAGGGATGGGGACTGCCCATGTATCTTGTCTCCAAACTCAAGTCAGTTACGCCAGCGCGTGGGTTAAAGGGTAGGTGGTTGTAGCAGGGTCTCCTGGTGGAGAGAAGAGGCTCAGAGCAAATGTAACCTCGGCACTTCCCGCCCCCTTGGGACATGTTTCACATTCAGATGGAGCCACATGACAGTTAGTTTTGGCCAGAGAGGGTGAGGGGCAATCCTGGCAACCTTCTCACATGCCTCAGCCTGGTTTCCTGCCCAGGAGGAAGCGGGATGAACTGGCCAAGCTCCCTGGTTGCACCATGTAAACAGAGACCAGCCCTGGCGCCGTCCCTTCCGCCGCAGGCCACGTGGATGCCTGTACCCTGGTGCTGGTGTCCCCAAGCACCCTCTGCTCTTGCCCATGGCTGCTTTCCTTGCAGGCTGGTGGTTTTGCCAGTTGAAGAATAAACGGGGCTGGGTGCCAGCATCCTATCTGGAGCCGATGGATGGGCCTGATGAGTCTGAAGAGCAGGAGCCCAACTACGCAGGTGAAATGTTTTGGTAACCAGGGTGTGCAGCAGAGCAGAACCTCCCCCAGCTCCCAGCTGGAGTGGGTTATTCGATAGCCCCAGCTGGGCAGTTCACATGGAGCAGGAATGCCGGGCAGGGAGATGTCGCTATAGGAGCTGCCAGGAGGGATAAATCTGATGGCTTTGGTGCCTCAGTGTCAACCTCAGGAGCTTCCCATGACCTGCCGCTCAACATCAGATGCTTGTTTTGGCTGATCACAGATGCAGAGCTTCGTCCAGTGGCCATCCTGGGCTAGCTGGATGAATGCTGTGTTGCTGGGTTAGCAAAGGAGCACTGTGTAGCACCTGAGCCTAGGACCTAGGTGCAGGCTTTTCCCAGTGCTTGGCTCCTGCACTGTCCTCATCAGCCCTTCCATGACAGCACAGAGCAGGGGGAAGATGCTGCCGCCTCATGCTGGTCGCTCTCCCAGCTTTGTCTCTGTGGTTTTCAAAACACTGCAGCAGACTCTATTAGCACAGCACTTCCCTCTTCCTCATTTAATCGCCTGAATTAGAAACATGCTCTTCAGCAGAGATAGATGTGCTTCCACTGCTTGCATTCACCAGCTTTCTCCTGGAGAGGGACTGGGAGGGCTGGGATGAGCTGCAGGCTCTGTCAAGGCTGGAGGAAGTCTGAATCCACACTTGGAGACCTTGGTCTTGCCTAAAACGTGTGGTAGATGCTCTGGTGCTTCCTCTCCTAAGTGCTGGAGAGGCTGAGCCCCACCCTTCGGGAGGTAGCACACAACCTGCTGACCCGATTTTGTGTGCAGGTGAGCCGTACGTTGTCCACAAAAGCTACACAGCCATGGAGGAGGATGAGCTGACCCTCAAGGAGGGTGATGCCATCGAAGTCATCCACAAGCTCCTTGATGGCTGGTGGGTCATCAGGTGAGAGATGCCAAGAACAAATCAGGCGAACCAGGGATCCAGGCAGAGGGAAGGGATGAGGCAGCAGTCCTTCACATCGGGGCTGTGGGTGCGCTGCCCAGCACTTCCTTTTGCAGGGCTGCTTCTGATAGCCTGTGCCTTTGCCAGGTGTTAAATGTTGCAGCTGGTGCTTCCTCTGCTGGGGGCTTCTGAAATGTCCAAGAAGGAGGCAGGTAGAAAAAGCCCTTGTTATTTTACTCTAAGTATTGCAGCACATCTTCCTTTACAAAACCTCAGCTTCGATTCCAGCCTGCCCTGCACAACTCGGGGTTTCCCAAGGGGAATCCCAGCTGCTTTTGTGCTCTGGAGAGCCACAGGCTGTGCATTCACAGCAGGACACGGTGTGGCTGCAAACCCTGGGGATCCTCCTTTACCAGCTTGTGCATAGGCACATGGCACCAGGAGGATCTCCTGGTGTTTGCAGATGTGCTGGGCTGGACGGCGTAATGGGCCAAGGGACCAGGGAGCATTTCTTGAGCACGCAGCAGCAGGGTGTCTGGCAGGAGGCCCTGAGTGATGCTTTGAGAGCCCAGAGAATCCCCCAGGGGAGACAGTATGAGCTGGTGAGACCCTGAAAGCTGTGAGCCATTGCTCTTCCTGCTACCTACTTGTTTCTGGGACTCAAGCCACACTTTCAGGGAGAGCCATGGGCACACAAGGTGCAGGGACAGTCAAAGCCCTCCTCGCTGCAAGCAGCAGGAGAAATAACCCATCCAGCAGCAGCTGGGGGCATGAGGAGGTGATAGGTGCAGAGCCATGACTGCAAGTGCCGTTGCTTTGTGTTGCTCTGCAGGAAGGATGAAACCATGGGTTATTACCCCTCCATGTACCTGCAGAAAGCTGGGGAGGTGAACACCTCTGTGAAGAGTGAGCTGAGGAACCGGAGCGCTCCTCCACGGAGGTAGGAGAAGCTCGGGGGGGGTGAGTGGGCAGGGAGGACTAAAGCTCTTTTTGAGTGGGCTGAAGTTAAACCAGACAGGGGTTTGTGGTGTCCCTTGCTTCCTTGGCAATAAGGAACTGCCTGGCAGAGATGTGAGCAGGGCACACACCGACCAGGGGGCAACCCCCTGGAGCAAAAATAGCTCTGTGCTCTCCAACTTCCACAGGCAGAGAGGCACGCCAGCATTCCTGATGTAGGGCTGTACGCTCCTTGCTCCAACAGGTCCTCCAGCCAGGCGTATTTCTCCTTGTCCTTCTGCAAAGTTTCTTTTATGGGCTAATCAAGTTTAATTTTCAGATTGGCCTTTTTCTTATTTCCTAAGTGCATCCACTGAATCTTTGAGAAGCGAGGAGAGATTTGACTAATCAGAGCTGCCAAATGGCCTAATCTGATGGGAGGATTTGAGCTAATGGAAGGGATTTTATTTTGATTTAAAAAAAAAGATAAAGAGCAGTAATAACTCATTAATTCTGATGCAAAGAGAACTGCTGGGAAGGGCAGACCTTGCTGCTATCTTTTCTTCCCTATGAGAAAACATGCTATAGAATCCTTCCAAATCTAGCTCTGCTGGAGCACGGATTGAGTGTGAAACAGTGTGAAATGGCCCAAATCCACCTATCTGAGTGCAGTGATGCTTACTGAAGCCCTTAAGGTAGGGTGGTAGCCTGTGTCAAGGACAGTGACCTGCCCCCAAGGGTTGAACCCTGTCCCTATGGCTCTGGTGACAGCAGCCAGGCTGAGCCCTGTTGCAAAGGTGGTGACCTGCTGCTGTGGATAAGAGCTTTGCTGTGAAATGGGGTATGTGCTCAGAGCAGGGAGGGTGCACATTGCCCTAAGCAGAGCAGGAGGACAATGCCATGGGATGGGTATCAGAAGCCACCTTGCTCATACCCTGGTAGCGAAGGCAAAGTGGTGGCCTCCCTCTGCCTGCCTGGGGACTGCTGCTCAGCCTTTCACTTCTCTCAGCAGTTCCTCTGCTGTGGGTTCAACACTGCACATCCAGGTGCACGCTGACACATATCTCACATGCTGTTCTTATGGCCCAGGAACCAATCCTTGGGTGTCAGGGAGCCAAGCCAAACCCCACACCAGGGATCTCAGTGTTTCAGCCAGTACAGAAGCAGCAGTGTAGATCTATTCATCAGTTATATATCACTTCCAAGGCTTTCTTGGATAAACCTCACGTCCGTCTCATCCTTCCAGCCTTGCGCCCAATCTACCTTGTCATTCCCATCATTACTTTCCAGACTTGTGCTCAGGCTTCACCCTTCAGTATCTGCTTCCAAAGCACCACTCCAGCTACCTCCTAACATGCTGTACATCACGTCTCCCCTACAGCTGCCCCCAAGTATTGGCTTCCACTCACTGCTTTCCACTGGTCAAAACCAAACAGCAGATGTTGTGGTTTGGGTGAGGCAGAGGAGGAAGTGTGTGGGGAGAAATGCTCGGCAAGGAAGTGCACAGTGTGAGCCTGCTGACATGAAAACTGAAAGTGTTGTTTCTAACTCCCTGCAGATCTACCATCCGGAACGCAAAGAGCATCCACAAGCAGAGACGGAAGCAGATCAGCCAGGAAACCTACAGGAGGAACAGCAGAAAGTACATCCAGAGCAGGAGGAACATGAAGGAGAATTTCCAGAACAAAGCCAATGTCATCAGTGAGTCTCAACAGGGCCTTTGCCCTGGCCATGGGCTAAAGTCCTGCAGGCATGGCCTGTACCTTCCAGTGCTGGTTGCTGGAGTAGGACAGCACATGAAGGCCACAACTTGTCTGTCCACCCTTTTCCTATGGGGAAAGCATGTGCAGGGCGGTGTTTCTTTTCAGTGAGGTTTCTTACCTCTGGTTATAGTTCTGACAGAGAAGGAGCAGAATAGGGTCCTGGTGGGAGGTCAGCCCACATTTAGGACCTTTCCTTTGTCCACCTAACCTCACCTGTGCTGCCGTTACCACTACCATTATCATGTACGTTAGCTGCCAGCAAAGCACCTAGAGGGAAGTGATGCACGAAGGAGGTTGCTGTTGTTGCTTTAGATCTGTAATCCCCACAGCTTTCCCAAGGGAGAGCAGCTCCTTGCGCAGACCTAGGGCTGGGCTTCCAACTGGGCAAAGCTCCCAGCTGGGCACTGGTGGGCTCATCCCACCACCCTGACCTCCAGAAAGACCATCACATGCACGTGAGACAGGAGGAGAGGCTGGAGCTTTGGTGGCCATTACATAGGGAGCTTTTGAACGTTGACATGAAGGTGTTGGGTGGTGGAGAGCTCTGACCCACCTGTACATCTGCTTTACCCACAGTTGAGAAAAACGAGCCAGAGGAGAACAAGCCCAGGGCTCAACCTGCTGTTCCTCCCCGTCCCAGCAAAGACCTCATCCTGAACCGCTGCACCGAGAGCACCCGGAGAAAGATCTCCATCCACCGTCATGATGAGCCCAAGATGTCCTAAGGACACCATGGGCAGGGTCCTGCTGCAGCAGCTCCAGGGGAGCTGAGGCCCCCAGAGCCTTGCCACTAGGCCCCCTTTTACCCCCCATTTGTATTTTGGATGATTTTGCGTTTTTCACCAATAAAGGAGAGACACTTTATAGACATGTTGGCACAGCTGGTCAGTGCAGGTACCAGGGAGATGCCGAGAGGATTGGGCAAGGGTCTTTTGCTAAAGATGATATCAGGGAGGAAATTTGGCTGGGGAAGCAAAAGGATGGCAGCTTCCTCCTGGAAAGTGGCTGCTTCACTCCCTCTTATGGAAAGTGAAGGCTGGGATGTGCAGGTAGGAGCGATGAAACAAGGTGGACCCCGAAATAGCAGCACAGGTGTGGCAGTGGTAGCCTCCACCATGTCAGGAGGCCAGTGGCCATCACAGTGCCAGTGCCTCTGGAACAGGGCTGCTGCTCAACAGGGAGCATGGTGTGAGGGCTGTGTTTGTGTGCCACCAAGCCAGCCCTGCCGCTGCCATGCCAGGCAGGTTTGGGTCTGCATCTGGGTTTGTGATGGAGTCTGGGTCTGGACATCGGTGTAGGTTTGGGTTTTGGTCTTGGTTTAAAATTATGTCTGAGTCCGGGTCTGGAACTGCACCTAGGTCCAGGTTAGGGTCTAGGGCTAGGATTGGGTCTAGTTCTCAGTATGAGACTAGGTTTGGGTCTGGGTTTGGATTTGGGCCTGGGTGTGTTGTCCCTAAAATGAGGATTCTCCAATAAGCAAATCAAGACAAGGAGTCAAATTACTTGGTTTTATTTCAATTCTGCAGATTCAGGTGCTCAGCCTCCGCCACAGCCAGAGCACCCTTGTTTCAACTCGTTTGCCATTTATACTAGCAAGGTGTAACCGATTGGCAAGTAACAGTTTCCTTTACCACCCATGATGACATATTTTCATATGCTTCATGTTTAAAACAATTAGGGAGGTCCTCTAATTAGTCTCAAAGGGGTGTGTACTTTGGTATTAGAATTACGCAGGGTTAGTCAAGGATTCACTCCTGTCTGAACTTTCGTTCTAATTCATGCACATGTCTCTGTCTAATCAGCAAGGCAAAATACAGCCTGTGCTGCCCGGCGGCTGTCCATGATGCTCGTCGTGGTTAGACACATTCCATGGTGTACAACACAGACCCGTGTGATTGCTCACCTGGTCACTCTTAACCCTAGTACTTTGGCACCAGGCGTAGGTTTGGAATTGGGGCTGGGTCCAGGTGTGGGTCTGGGATTCGATCTAGGTCCAGGTGTGGGTCTGGGATTAGATCTAGGTCCAGGTGTGGGTCTGGGATTCGATCTAGGTCCAGGTGTGGGTCTGGGATTCGATCTAGGTCCAGGTGTGGGTCTGGGATTAGATCTAGGTCCAGGTGTGGGTCTGGGATTCGATCTAGGTCCAGGTGTGGGTCTGGGATTCGATCTAGGTCCAGGTGTGGGTCCGTGTCGGACGCTCCCGGGTGGCGTAGCCCCTTTAAGAAAGCGCCGCAGCCCCGCCGCTGGGCGCATGCGTATAGGGGGCGGTGAGTGGGCGCCGGCGCAGAGCGGAGGCGCGGGTGAGAGGTCGACAAGATGGCGGCCTGAGGGAGCGCGATGTGGGGCTCGCTGTGGGGCACGCTGAGGGGAGCGCGGCCCCTGCCCGCCCCCAGCCGGGGCCTGGCCAAGCCGGCGGCCCCGCAGAGCACCCGCCAGCTGAGGGAGGCCGAGGAGGCCGCCCCGGTGTTCCAGTACGCGGGGAAGGCGGCCAAGCGGAAAGACCGCGTGTTCGTGTGGGGCTTCTGCTACTCGGGCGCCCTGGGCATCCCCAGCTTCGTAAAGCCGGACGCGGGCTGGAAGAAGCCGCGGCGGATCCAGGCCACTCCCTACCGGCTGGAGACGGAGGAGAAGGTGTGCGCGGGGCCGGCTCCTCCGGCCGTGCCAGCCCGCCTGGGCAGGCGGCGTCTGTCGGCAGGGAAAGGCGTTCCGGAGCGGGATGTGCAGGCCTTGCCGTGATTCATTTATTTCATGGCTGCAGAGGCACTGGTCGGGGTGGTTGTTGGTGTAACTGCGGTAGCACAGAGTTCGGAAAAGAAATCGGTATTCTTTTGTCGAAGGCGTGAAAGAGCAAGAGTGTGAACAACGTTTATTAGAGAAAGGGGGGGTCATTTTCAGTGGCTTTTATGTACTCTCACCTCCACGAAATTGGAACCTTGGGTTGCAAATCGCGTTGTTACTTTGCCTGCGCGTTTCAGCTGCTACACTGTTGTCCAGTTCAGGAGAGTCAGAGCTTTTATACTGGGCTTTTCTTTGGCAAAAGGACTAAAATGGGAATGTTATTTTCATAATTTTCTTTGGTTTGTTTTATGCGCTGCTGCTCGCCAGCAAGTAGCGCTTCCTGTTGTGTTTGAATGGGTCCTAAATAATGCAGTGCTATGTAACCTGCTCTCGTTGGCCCTGTCTTAGCAGGGGGGTTGGACCAGATGATCTCCAGAGCCCCCTTCCAACCCTGATGATTCTGTGTATGTATGCACACGAAAATAAAACTAAAGCAGTAATGTTGGACTTGAGTTTACACTATTTTACGTATCACTGAGGGGTGTTTCCAGTCAGTTTTGTAAAGACCGTGCGTACTGTGAGTCTGGGCTGTGTTTGGATACAGCTTAAGGAAGGCTGAATGCTGATGGCCCAGTAGCGTAGGGTGAAACTTGTTCTTCTAAGCTCCAGTTTGTAAATGAATGGTGTGGTCTGTGTTTGTTCTTGAAGATCTCCTCTGCTGCCTGCGGTTATGGATTCACTCTGCTGTCCTCTCGTACCACAGACATCACCAAGGTGTGGGGAATGGGGCTGAACAAGGACTCCCAGCTTGGATTCCAGAGGAGCAGAAGAGACCGAAGTAAGGATTGAAGTGTTTTATAGACTTGGAGGGCAGCACTACAGGATACATCTGATGTGAGAAACTTCACACTAGAAAGCATGAAAAATGTCCAGGAGGCTTTGATGCAGAGTGCAGGGCTGTGCTTTTGTTTGGTTGTTTTTAAGGGGGTATTTTTGGGAACTTAGCTGTGTTTTTGTATGCCTTGTAATTGGTCACAGTATGCATCTGTTCTGTGCACTGTGCTTACATTTTTGCCTGGATATAACTAAAATATCACAGTTTATTCTGCAGAAGGGGGTGTGTGTGGTTAAGGTGTTGCTTTGAACCTCTCTAATTTGGTAGTAGACACTGTAGTGGACTAGTTAATAAAAGAGTTTTGGCAAGATGCTTTTGCACCTATAAACTAATTTGCTTTCCCACAGAGATCTTTCTGTACAGCCAGTGGAGTTTTTTGTGAGCCTGTAGAGGTTTTTTATTTTAATACCAAATTGCATTTTGAAAGAGAAACGTGTTATTCAGTCACTCTGTCTCATACCAGACTCTCGAACGCATTTAAGATGATAATTTCAGTGGAGAACATGGCCATCTTCCACCTAAGACAGATAGGAAAACCACTGACTTCTCCAATAGAATGGCTGTCTCTGACTTGCTTCAGCTCTTAGTTCTGCATGTGCTGAAGTCTCAGGGGTATCTTGTAATTGACTTGTTTTTCATCTAACCCGCTGATTGTTTTTGCCAGAGAATCCAGAAATAGGTTAAATAATTTTGCAGTTCAAGCACTTCTAAAGAAGAGAGTGTTCAGTGTGTGGTAGGATCTGCTGACAGTGCAGTGCAGATCAGTGGGATTGCTACTTAACTTCCCAGACATGAGCTTCCTGTTGTAAAGCTGAGTTCATTACTCAGTTTTACAAGCTTACTTTGGTACCTACTAGTCCCAGCACGGTGTCCCTGTAGATCCTTTGTTTCCAAGGGAGTATGCAGCCTTCTGAGTTATTTCATTTCATGCTCTAACTGCAGCTGTTTCTAAGCTAAACTGTTCATAATTTGCTCTTGCCCTCCTCTTCCTTAGTTACTTCATTGCCTCTTTTCTCCAGAACCCCTCTGATTTCAGTGATGATTACCACAGATCCCAGCAGCTTGTGGTGCTCTGCTGGAAGGAACAGTGAGAGAAGAAAAGGTTTTTTGCATTGTAACTCCCATGTCTCTAGACAGACACAAACGTCGTGTTTCAGTTCCTGCTATATTGCATGCCAGGCTCCCACCATTGGCAAACAGCCAGTTATGATGCCTGTCACATCAAGTAGTGTCTTGCTGTAAAAGGTTATCTAGATTTTCTGGGTATTTTTTAAATGGGAACTAGTTAAAGCACTGCTGCATGTGAGCAGAATACGGCTTTGGGTGCTCCTGGGTTTTGTTTCAGTTGTTACAGTAGCTTTGATATCAAAGCTTTTTGTCTCCCCTTAACCTTTTCCCTAGTACTGGTTAATGTTTTGCTGTTCTTCCTTTTTTCCTTTGTTTCCCAGTTGACCATAGCTGATTACGTATTCTTCACGTTACTAAATCTTTTTTCTAGTACAGCCTGTCGTTTTCTTTTGTAAATGCTGGATCTTTTACCCCCTGGGGAGCCAGGCTAGCTAATGTTTCCTGCATTCCTTTTTTCTGAAAGGGCATTTAATCCACAGTTGTTTAAATATGAAGCCCTAAGATATTTTTTGTTCACCTTAGTGATTGCTGCTGTTGTACCTTGATTGCAGTATTCCTGGTTGCACAGAGTGCTGAGTTCGTGCATGGTGTTAAGCCATAATCCAGCCTTATTTACCAGAGTGGGTAAACATGTGGCTGAAAGCCTCTGTTTCTGAGTTCTGGCCACCTGAAACCTTGATGACATCTACCCTGTAGATGTGGATTTTTGACTTCAACCAGTGATTATTGGCTTCAACCATCCCTATGGCTTTTAACTTCTCCCCCCCCCCCCCCGAAGAATCCCAGTCAGCCTTTTACTTAGGTTAGTATCTTGGCTTTCTAAAATATATCTGCTTTTGGAGCAAAATGGAAGCGAGTGTGTGTATGTACAACAGGATGGGCAAATGAATGATGAATTTGCTTTGTGGAAGCTACTGACTTGTAAAATTTCTCTCTCTTCCTTAAGCTAAGGGCTATGAATACATCTTGGAACCCTCTCCAGTTCCATTACCACTGGAGAAGCCGCAGCAGACTCGAGTCTTACAGGTGTCCTGTGGGAGAGCCCATTCCCTGATCCTGACGG